TTGTATTCAATGTCAGAAACACGTGACAGGTGTTGTGCCCAGCTCAGAACGATGATAAGGCTGACAGCATGGAGGATTCACCATAGACAGTGGATTTGTCATGGCCTTTGTTACTGCTTTGAGGCTTTATTGGAAACATGCCCAATGACAGGAGATCCTGAGGTTATTCATGACCCACAGCCTCCAAAAGGGATCCTGTCACTGAAACAATAAAGCTAAATAGAGTCAGAAAAGAAATAAATTTTAAAAAGGGAAAAAAATCTATTTTTTTTTACAGAGCTACTTCATTATGCATTGCCCACCAGTCCATCCTCCCTTAACAGCAGTCAGCTCTAAAGACCAAAAAAATAGAACCATGTGACAGATACTGCAATGAACTCAGGTAAACCAGTTTTGTGCCTCTCTGTCTCTTGGAATAGACTTAACACTGAATGATAGGAAACATTCAGGTATGGGTGAAGGGAAAAATAAGAATATTGATGCCTGCAAAAAGAGACTTGGAAGTGGCAGAGACATTATAAACAGGGTTTTAATACGATGTGAATTACAAGCACTTGATACAGAGGGGATTATATATTGATTTTCCTCATTCTGAACTATGCCTGTCACTAAGATCAATGGAAGTCACAAACCTATATCAAGGAAATTATAATATGTGGAATTATTTATAGAATGGCTGCTCCAGGTACACATCAATTGCAGCATCATAATGGCCAGACTTATGACTGAGGACAAAGCCATCTATTACATATTGTAAATGAGAAAGTGTGCATTGCCATCATTGCTTCATTTTCCACATTTTTCATAAGTGAAAGGAAGAACTAATAGAAGCATTCTTGTACAGCCTTTTTTTATAAAGAAGCAACAAACATTGTAGAGTTTATCACTAAACGACAACAATTCCACTTACAAACTAAGTCATTAAAAGAACAGCTACAGGCAGTATTTTCCAAAACAGAGTTATGCAATGTACACCAAGGCAAATACGCTGAAACTTTGGGAATCACTTCTGGATTGCTCAAAATTCTGGGCACCCTGAAGAAGCTGAAAAGCAGCAGCACACAGGAGGGCAGCATCTCCAAGCTGCTGGTGGCAAGGAAGCATGAACCTGTAAACGCATGCTTCCTTTTTCCACTGCAAAAGCTCTGTCACCACTGGCAGACAAAGAAAAAGTCTAATGGCTACACAGGCACCTTTATAATTTTCATATCTCAAAATTATGGCATTTCCAATAAAGTCTGCTTTTGAATCACCATTTACTTCTACAGTTCACTTAGTTTCACAGCAGTCTCTACCTCCCACTGTTAACTCTTAAAAGAAGCCTTTCAAAGGTCAACCCAAACTGTTAGGATTCTAGATGGTAAAACTGAATTTTTCATGTCTACTTGTTCTTCTGAAAGGCTTAAAAGCAATTTGTGGCAATCAGCACAAAGGGATTTGATTGACAAACTTTAACAAAGTGATCTAGAGAAGATTCATTGGGAAAAAAACTGCTAAAATTGCAAATTAAATGGCAAATAGTTTTTCTCTGTCTGCCCTTGAAGGAAAATAGGTTCTCTTCTTAGACGTGAAAATTTTGAATTCGGGAGGGAAAAAGAGGAATTTGGCTGGGTTTTTTTTGTATTTTATTTTTAAACCTCTAGTATTGTGTTAGACTGATAGCAACCAGCATAGTTAGAAGATTTATTTCTTTACTATCCTGATGGTGCAAATTATTTTGTATGCTACTGCCACTACTGCAAAGCCTTTGCTTTAGTCCTCAGACAATCCTATTACCCAAGTCAAAGTAACTCATTTTTCACCTACTTTAATTCAGTTCTGAAATTCATATACAGGGCAAGAGCAGGATAAAGCTTTTGTCTGTTTGAAAGTACAGCATAACTGATAGATTTTACATTTTTGTAATGGTGCTTCAACCTCATATACCCATTTGCTTGTTTAATTTTTAAGTATTATTCTGATTTTTTTGCCTTTACAACATTCTTCTGTGACTTCAAATTACTGTTGCCTGCAAATATAACTAATGTGTTAATCTTCTCAACTTTCAAATCACTCACATGACATAAACCCACTCAAAACCATTTATATTTTGATCTACAAAAACCTACTACATTTTTTTACTAACAAGTTCAGGTTTTTTAAAATTATATTTATGTCTGTGAAAATTTTCCAATCTCCTACTCTACTCAAAGCTATTCTAACATTATGGCGATTTTATGTAATTAAATTATTTTCCTGTCTGGTAACTTACTGTAGTTTACATACTTTTGTATTTATTGGAGACATACCAGAAAAAAAAAAAAAAGCATTTGAAATGCCAAAAAACAAAATTTAACACAGAAAACTCAGAATTCATTAATGATAAAATATGTAGTTATGAAAGACTGCACAAAACTCATTCACTCACTGAATCACTACAGAGACTGAGGGATTTATGCAAGGTGCAATACATCCAAAACAATACAGCTCAGTTCAACACACCACATCTCACTGCATTAGTAGCACTTGTCAACTAAACCTACAGCTAAGCCATCTCAGCTCATTTACTCTTTATAAAATTACCTTTTCTCTTCAGAGCAGCTATCTTTGCCAAAGGACAAAGGGTTTATGTGGGCAAACCTACAGTATTAGTCTACACATTAAGCACCTATTCTGGCAATAATAAATATGAAGGTCCAGAATTACCCATTACAGACCGTAAACATGCTTGTTTACTTATTAGGATCTTTATAAAGCCACCATACAAACAATTTGTGTTTAAGAAAAGTCCAAGATATGATTCAGTTACTTCTTTGCAGGCTGACCAAAATATTTTCTATTAGTTTTGCAGTGACCTTTGTTATATGTTATTCTAGTGTCGGGGATACACATTTTAAAACTCCTCTTGACAATGTGATTAGAACTGTTACTATATGATTAAAACTATATGATTAAGCTCATTAAAACCAATGATGAAAGTTTCTTTAGATAATCTAGCATGTGGATTAATTTTATGATTGACATTTGTTTGCTCAAGAAGGTTTTTTTATTCATCAAAGACTCAGGTAATGAAAAATCTTTACATCTTTTAATTACACATTCCTGATAATATCAGCCTCAATTTCTGCATAGTTGCAATTTAGAATAAAACATGTTTTAATTCACTTCTTCTAAAGCGCAGTAAAGATTTCATCAGGTATTAGTGGCAAACACCACCAGTCCAAACCTACTTGGATGTTTCTTTTCAATAACGTGACTAGTAAGAATTGCCATGCGTAACAAATTTTTCTTTTGCTTTCTCAGTGTTTGTGTAGATGTCGAACAAAAAATTTAATGACTGCGCAAATGGTTTTTAAAATACCCTCAAAATTGAAAGATAACTTTTTTTAAAAGCAACTGCTGCTCAGACTACTGCTCATATTCTACAGTCGGTGAGCTGACCCTTGCAAGATTTCACATATCTGTCTCACAAACTGTTAATGACAGATAAAACACACCGCTGCAAAGAGCCTGCCCTGAGGTGACCCAGCAGCAGTCAGGCTGCTGCTCAGGCAGGCCTGGGCTCTGCTGGGCACTCAGAACCAGCCTCAGACCCTGTGCAGGCAGGCCTGGGCTCTGCTGGGCACTCAGAACCAGCCTCAGACCCTGTGCAGGCAGGCCTGGGCTCTGCTGGGCACTCAGAACCAGCCTCAGACCCTGTGCAGGCAGGCCTGGGCTCTGCTGGGCACTCAGAACCAGCCTGGGCTCTGCTGGGCACTCAGAACCAGCCTCAGACCCTGTGCAGGCAGGCCTGGGCTCTGCTGGGCCCTCAGAACCAGTCTCAGACCCTGTGTGCCCGTGGCCCTGGGCTCTGCTGGGCACTCAGCACCAGTCTGGGCTCTGCTGGGCACTCAGAACCAGCCTCAGACCCTGTGTGCCCGTGGCCCTGGGCACTCAGAACCAGCCTGGGCTCTGCTGGGCACTCAGCACCAGCCTGGGCTCTGCTGGGCCCTCAGAACCAGCCTCAGACCCTGTGTGCCCGTGGCCCTGGGCTCTGCTGGGCACTCAGCACCAGTCTGGGCTCTGCTGGGCACTCAGAACCAGCCTCAGACCCTGTGTGCCCGTGGCCCTGGGCACTCAGAACCAGCCTGGGCTCTGCTGGGCACTCAGCACCAGCCTGGGCTCTGCTGGGCCCTCAGAACCAGCCTCAGACCCTGTGTGCCCGTGGCCCTGGGCTCTGCTGGGCACTCAGCACCAGCCTGGGCTCTGCTGGGCACTCAGAACCAGCCTCAGACCCTGTGTGCCCGTGGCCCTGGGCACTCAGAACCAGCCTGGGCTCTGCTGGGCACTCAGCACCAGCCTGGGCTCTGCTGGGCACTCAGAACCAGCCTCAGACCCTGTGTGCCCGTGGCCCTGGGCTCTGCTGGGCACTCAGCACCAGTCTGGGCTCTGCTGGGCACTCAGAACCAGCCTCAGACCCTGTGTGCCCGTGGCCCTGGGCACTCAGAACCAGCCTGGGCTCTGCTGGGCACTCAGCACCAGCCTGGGCTCTGCTGGGCACTCAGAACCAGCCTCAGACCCTGTGTGCCCGTGGCCCTGGGCTCTGCTGGGCACTCAGCACCAGCCTGGGCTCTGCTAGGCACTCAGAACCAGCCTCAGACCCTGTGCAGGCAGGCCTGGGCTCTGCTGGGCACTCAGAACCAGCCTCAGACCCTGTGTGCCCGTGGCCCTGGGCTCTGCTGGGCACTCAGCACCAGCCTGGGCTCTGCTGGGCACTCAAAACCAGCCTGGGCTCTGCTGGGCACTCAGAACCACCCTCAGACCCTGTGTGCCCGTGGCCCTGGGCTCTGCTGGGCACTCAGAACCAGCCTCAGGCTCTGCTGGGCACTCAGAACCACCCTCAGACCCTGTGTGCCCGTGGCCCTGGGCTCTGCTGGGCACTCAGAACCTGCCTCAGGCTCTGCTGGGCCCTCAGAACCAGCCTCAGGCCCTGTTCGCTGGCAGCCCTGGCCTGGCTCAGAGTTCCATGGAGCCCCACGTACCTCCTCATGCAATCCAGCGCCCGGATGAAGAAGTCTTTGTGCAGCTGGTGCTCGTCCCTCAGGATGGAGCACTGCTCCAGCGTCACTGACATGGATGTCCTGTCTTTGGCACTCTTGCAGCAGGTGAAGCGCACTCCGTTCAGCTTGCGGCAAATCTGAAACACGGGCAGGCCCCACAGGTCAGCCCTTCCTTCCTACCAGGCTGCGCAGCCCTACAGCTCTGCAAGCCCAGCGAGGGCTTCCAGACAGCTACAGCACTTCTCAAGAAGAAAACATCTTCTGGAAGTTAGTACCAGTACACTGAATTCCTGAATTTGACATGGGACTTTCATAACTATAAAAGAAACAGTTCCTTCACCGTTTCCTCACTGAATGCAGCAGCTGCCCTGTTCAATGAAAGCTAAATTGTCTGAATATCTGATGAATGAAGATATGGTGAGTCTTAACTCACAAACATGAATGTAGCAGACTAACTTCTTGTGAAGGTATGGAGTCAGACACATCTAACTTACATAGTTTTTATTTTCAACAGGTGAACTGTTCAATGTATGGCTCACAATTAATAAAGTTTAACAAATTGCTGCCATGGATTGTCTACTTTCACTTATACTTTGAAAAAGTTATAACACATAAAGGAAACATGACATTTTGGAGGATGATTCCTCCTCTTAGGAATCAATCTGTGGTTGTATCATTCCATTAGTTTATACTATGGTTTCAAATGATATTTTACTAGAAAAAGAAAAATTGAAGGAGAGCTTCTGTGCCCAAATCTACCATTTCCCAGATATAACCTGTCCTGAGAAAAGGTAATACTTTGCTTACACCTATCCCTGGGGAATCACAGCTGTAATGGTACAAAACCTCAAAATGTTTGTGAGAATGCAGCAAGGCAATAAACTACAGCAGGAATCACAAAAAGAAACTTCCCGCATTGGCTATCATGGGAGAGCTCGCAGGATGAACTGGAACATGAACTGAAACATGACCAGTGTCAGTCCAGCAAATAAGTGTTTCTTCATCTAATGCTAATTGCATTCTTAGAAATTCTATTAAACAATAAATACTATTAAATTCTATAAAAATCAGAAAATACTTAGAGCCTTTAAGTTCTTTGTGATACCATGGTGAGGACAATCTCAAAAGTTTAATTTAGGGAACCAATTAAGGGAATCTTACTTAGAATCCAAAGAGGTACAGGATAGTGAAGGAGAACCTATGAGTGTTTCTTCCATCATATAATTGAAAATTTTAAAAGTTAAATCTGTTTAAAAATTTGAACAGTTGCACTGGGATTTAAAACAAGTACTATATGATAATCTGCTTAAATAATTATGTGAAAGAACTGTTTCATTGAAGAGATTAATTCTCTTTGCACTAGTATCTTTGGAAGCCCCCGATTCATTGGGGCTATTCGATGTGAATGAGTCCTAAAAAAATTTTAAAATATTAAAAAATCATTTATAAAATAAAGTAAAAAAATCCCAGGTAATTATTCTGGATGAGTGATGGGCTCATATGTGGAATCTTGTACTTCCACTGCAATAAAAAAGTGATATTGCACAGCTACTGCACTGACAAAGTTTTCTTCTTACATCTTTTTCAATAAATAAATGGAATATAGAATAACAGTGTGTAGATCACTAGGACCAGAAATACACATTTCAGAAAGTTAAAGTAAGGGAACCAAGCAATCGTGTCCCACATCATACCTCAAGGACACTAAAAAATTATTTTGAGTAATTTTATATTATCAAAGAATGGATATCAAACAAATCACTCAAATTCTAGCAGGTTCTACCAGTTTAAAAAGTGAGAAAAAGAAATTGTCTGCAAAAAACTATTACAGCACATCTGCCTCCTTTAACCAGTGAGTTTTCCAGTCATTTCCTTAAAATCCATTGCAGTTACAAAGTCAGCAAGCTTATGAAAATGAGTTTATGGTTAGTTCATCAATTTCTTTGAAACAAGAGAGCTCACCGTTGCAGCCAGCCACATGATTTCTACATTCTTTCTCTTTTTGGCCTGGATATTTTGATGAAGACTTTCTAGCAATCCCTTTAAATCATTTTGTTCTTGAAAATGTGGTAAACCTGGGAAAAAAGGACGAAAAAAGTTGCTCATTTTGATAAGGTTGGTGATATGATTGTCCCGACTAAAGAACGCTCATGGTAAAGAACAGGTCTATTATTTACAGCCTTGTTTTGGAACACAGGATAGAAATTACCAGCTAAATATTTAAGGAATAAGCAAACCTTATGTCTTTTGAGTATTGCCTTGTCCTCCCTAAGATCTTCACGTGGAAATTTGAAGTATCTTCAACCTTTATCTTATAAATGGATGGTGAAAAACAAAACCAAATCTCTGCTGTAGTTCTGTTCATCAGCTATTACAGACATTCAAAAGAAATCAGAAAAATAAAAAAAAAACTGAGTGTATTACAACCTGCTTTGATGGGATGATTATTTTTTAAAATTAAAGTAAAAAATTAGGGTTTTGTTTTCAAATTGAAACATCTAGTTTTTGTTTTAAAATATGCCTTAGATTTTTCTATAATGTAAGATAAGGGTTAAACAGCACTTAGTATCCCCTCTAAAAAGTAACAAAGTATCTTTCTCCTGAAATTAAGTGGGGCTTTATTTTGAAGTAGAAAATAATTTCAAGTTTGCTTAAAATCCAAAAATTTACCTGCTTGTTCTGGGTATGGAATTTAAGTTGAAGTTTAATTTATCCTACATCTCCAGCAAAAATTCAAGAGTAGGCAATTTAATTTCCCCCTCTGTTTCATATGTATATAGAGGAGGGATTTTTCTAATGTTGCATTTATCCTTGCTAGTTCTGAAAATCAATAAAAACATGCAGAATCTGTTTTTTGAAATTATTTCTTCTCATGGTGGCAAAGTAAAAAGAATTTAAATCATAGTTATCACCAAATAAAGGGGCCAGAATCAAGTGGAACAAAGTGAAACTAAATTGATCAATGGATTTCTTCAAGCAGAGAAAGTAAATTATCCATCCAGTGAGGGGAAAAAACCCCACAACCCAAGCCCCAAACCCAAGCCCAAAAACTTATACTCAATTGGAAGAAAAAAAATGAGGGAAGTATTAATGAAGGTCAATATCCATTCTCCTAACGTGATCCAAGTTGGAATGATCCCTCTCATCAACAGGCTTTTACCTTTTACATCTAATAAATTCTGTAGTTTCCCTTATCCATGATTCATAGGAAGAAGTACTTTAAATCTATTCAAAAAGAACTAAGTTGCTCCAGTCATACTGTGCTGTCTAAAAAAACTCACAAACAAACAAGAAAAAAAGAAAAAGGGAGGAAAACGTACATCCAGAATCTGTTTTGCAATAATTTTAATGTGGATTGTTTTACCTCTGTATCACAAGCTCTGATTGTACATTAGATAATGTAGAGCACATAAAACCACATCACACTCTGCTAGACTATTACACTTATGGGTGCATCTGTTTCTTTAAAACAGAGAGCACAAAATGGCAAAGATGCTTTGAGATGATGCAAATGTATCACTAAACATTCTATTGCTCCCAGTAGCTTTCCTTTGGGTCACAGCAGAAAACGTGACATCTCAGAGGGATGACTTCAGCACAGGTACAGCAAGAGTCTCCTAATTCACAGTACTGCCAAAGGGGTTGCACCTTGACTGGAAATGATCAATGGCCTAAACTCCTTGGGTCCCCCACAGTACCAAACCACCAAATCAGGCTGATAAGGGGGAGAAGCCTGGAAATACCAAACAGCCTTTTTGTTTTCAGGTACTTACGTACTACTAAACAACTATCTTACGTTTTTGGACCCTTACTGTCTTAGTATTTCTATAAAAGCAGTACCATTTTGAGCTATATTTGGTCAGCATTTTTGGTAGGAACCTTGCTGGAAACATGCTCTTATTTTCAGTTTCTGCTAAAAGAATTTAAGAAGTTAACAAATGGGTAAATGACGAAGTGTATGTTCATCCTAAAGACAGAAAGTCAGTGGATGCTTAGTTACAAGCAAGACTATTATTGCCAAGGAGAAATACAGACACAAGAGGAAAACTAACAGCGAAGGTGGCAATACCTTTCAGGGAGTGGGAAATTGAATTCTTTGAAAGGGAATATATGAATGAGGCAGCAGGCCAGGGAGGCTACCAAGGGTGGATCCAACAGCCTGGCAAATAGGGCTGCAAATGCTCAAATTCTGTTGGGCTTTTTGAGCACTGTTTGGAACTGACAGCTTTGGGAACACAGTCCTGCATTGATTTTGTAGCACAGATTTGGCATTATAGGAAATTATCTGGATAGGTGGGACAAAACCATCAAAAAGCCATCAATATTGAATGCCTCTCACGTGGCCCCAGCACCAGGGTTGCTGCCAGCCTTGTATGGAGGTTTGTCTTCCAGACGAGGGGGAACAGGAGTGGGATTAAGTCCTGCCACAAATGAACAAGTTTGAGAGCTTCCCTTTTTTCCCAGGGGGCTGGTTTAAAAGGCACATTTCTCCAAGGCAAAAGACTGACTCTGTATACTGGCAGGGAGCTACTGGGAAGGGCAGTGGAACCAAAAGATGCTTTATGTTCCACAAAAAATTGTATAAAGAAGAGACTGAGTTCTTAAAGGTAAAGAAAAAAAGCAAGAAAGTTATAATAACCAGAAAATACACGATGAACTAGACACAATTAGTTCTCAAAAGCCTTCACAGTCTGAAAGAAGTCCAGGAACTGTGTGGCTCACTAATAATCCTTCAGGAAGGCAGTACAAGTTTAAATTGTGTTAATGAAAAGTAGCCAATACTGTCTGCATGTAGTATTTTATAAAATAAAATCCATTTATGAGGTAGCAGATCTACCTTAGTCCTAACCTGCATGAGGTTAGTTTTTCGAGGATGTTTTCTTAGCAACATTCCCCTCAATTAATCACCCAACTTATTGTATGAGTTTCTCTGTAGACATCCTGGAAATAAATACTAGGTCTGTGGGGGGATGGATGGGCATCCTGCCCATCATTTAGGAAGGGCTTTTGTTTCTGTCAAAATGATTAACAAATTAAAATCATCCTGATATAAGAGATAAACATGTATACATACGCATGTGATGTATTAAAGTTTTACATAGCATTTAAACATCAGGCAGTTAAATCTCCCACATTTGGGACTATAGTTTGGGCATTAAAACTAACAGGATTCGATTGATGCAGATGTTTTCTTCAGTCCTTGCTTCTGGCAATCAGAGTAACAGCATAGTAATGCTTATGTTTATAATACAGAAGTTCTACAGAAGTGGAATACAGGGCCTATTCCAATGAAACCTTGTCGTTCATATAATGATGATGTGGCTCATTGCTTGTATTTGATCTGCAGATTTCTCCATGGTTCACCAAACCTCAACATATTTTCAGAATAAGAACAGAGGGTATGACTGAAGCTGATGAAATTGCCCACCAAGTATTTATGTAAAAATACAGTAGGTACAGACTGTCCTCTACATGAAATATTAACAAACTTATTATTTTAATAACTTAAAATAGCTGTTCAGTTCATCATTCTTCTGTTTCATTTTCTCTGTAGTTTCTGCTGTGGCACAAGGCCTGAAATCACTCCTGAGACCAGCAGGGTCATGTACAGGTACAAAATGTTTAAATTTATGGAACAAGTTATGGGATTCTGCTAATATTACTGTCTTATAACCTTCTACCTACTCAAAGCTTTTCAAACCGATTTGGACATTGCATTATTTTGTACTCACAATCAGGAGGCATTTTTTCTGTAAATAACTTGTAATATTCTTTGAGAAGCTCTAAGTTTTCCTGGTTAATGTTTTCCTGCAAAGTGGTATCTCCAAACCTATGAAAATACACAATAAATTATGAAAAAAACCCAAAACCCACAAACAACAACAAAAGATAAATTATCCTTCATAGTTATTTCTTTGCATAAAGAAATAACTTTGGTGCTAAATGCATTAGATTTTGTCAAACATGCAGTAGTTAAGTTCTTGTATGCTTTGGAATTAATTTTTGGAAACGAGATCATCGCTGATGCATACTTCTTCCAAAAGTTTATTAACAAAGCAATCTATTTACAAACATGCAATAAGGCACTTATTCTTTTCCCCTCACAAATCGTGAATAAATGGAAAGGCACTTTGGGGGAATTCCAATTCCAAAAATTGGGTACCACAGGCAGAGAACACCAACTCTCCATCTCTTAGTGCTGCTACTGCTTAAGCATACCAATTTCTGTAAGAGCTGGATAATATGGAAGTGACACAAGATGGAAGAGAAGCTTATCTACAAAATAACTGTAGCTATAAAAACAAATATCTTTCTCTCTGAGACCAAGATTTCTACAACAGCCACATTTCACATGCCAAGAAACTAAATCTCACGGTACTACAAGAGATATGATTGTAAAGACACGAATGTCCCCATGACAATTAGGGCCAAAGTTTTGAAATTCATCTTCAGAATAGATTTGAAACGGGAATGGAGGAGTACAGGAAGAGAGGCATGGGCAGATAAGTGAGAAACTCAGAGAGAAGGGGACACAGATCAGAAGATACCAAATATGCTGCTAAATTGGGAACAAGGGAAGCAAATATTTCAACAGGCCACAGGGAGAAGATGTAACTACTTCCTTAGTAGCCATTGCTGCACTGTCACATGAGAACATTTCTTTTAAATCGGAAACATTCTCAAGTGTATTCTATCAAAAAACAAATTAAAAGATTTTTTTTCTAATACAGTAACATTTCCTAGAAATTTGCCACGAAAGTGTTTTTATATTCTCAGGTTCTTTATCCCACAAACCCCTCCATGTTTTTAGCCATAAATCGTGTGTGGTGTTTTCAGTCTCAAAAACAAATGTACAACTTTAGGAGTTAAGCAGCATTTTGAATTAAGACAAAAGCAGACTGTAACTGCATGCATTAAAGCTGCTTCTGCATTGAACTTATTTTCTTGGCAGATATTAGTACATATCCATATTTATAAATATGCAGTTATTTTGTTTTCTCCTATGGCTTTCTTTGCACACAATGTAAAATGACCACTGGGAACAACACTTCCTGCCACTTCACTTGCAAGCCAGGCATCTTTTCATACCAACTCCTCTACAAGCCCCCAGGTAATCAGGCTATTTCTAAATGTTGTCAAATTTTTCCTCAGACTATTCATAACTCAGTCCTTCCTGCCTATCTCACTCGTGTAAGCTCCCACCAGCCTGCTTCTTGCTTACCACATCATGTCTTACCTCTTATTTTTTGAGTGTCCCACTCAGAACTGTCATGACTGATTTTGTTGGTTTTGCACATTATGAGTTTGGCCACGTCACTCCTCTCAGCACTTTTCTCTTTATGTCATCAGAATAACCTATTTTCATTTTCAAGAAGTTTCCAAGTTCTCTAACCAGCTATCCAGCTCTTTCACAGTAAAATGCCAGATTTTACTGTCTTTAGATTCAGTCTATGTCTCCCATTTCAACTTTCTGCCTAAATTTTCTCACATACCACCACTCAACTTGGAGAAGTGTCCCATAAACATTCACAAAGCTACCTAATGACATTCTTTAGTAGACTTCTTTAAAAGACTGGGTTTACTTGGCTGTCTACAGTGAACAGGAGATAAAATCCTGTGGTGTTTAACTTCTTGCCTATTACCCAGGTTAAGGATTTTCACTGTATCCCTCCATTACTCCAGCTACAGCTTTGCTATAAGCTTTTGGCTTAGAGCAAATGCAACCTCAAGATAAGCATTAGGTATTTTGGACGCTCTGTTAATAAAAGCAGCTAAAAGAAAAGAAGTTTTAACAAAGTAGCTGTCTGTATTGACATCTTGACTTCTACTTTGCAGTTTTAGCCCTGCACAAATGTGGTAATTTAACATGACTGACAGATACCCTTCTCTTGGAAGAGAAAATTAATACGTTGGTGAATCCATGACTATTTTTATACTAATTAATTAGTTTCCAGCAATCTGTTGCAGAGGAGTACTAATTTCTCTAGCTTATCACTTGTTTGGTCTCTTCAAACCCATCTTCAAGATGTAAGAATTTTGAATTTTCAAACTTGTGTGAGAATTTCAGAGTACTGCATACAACCAAAATTCTGCATCTGAAATAGAAATCCATTTTGCACCTGTATCCAAGAGAAACATGGCACCAACTCTGTGAAACGGAGCCCTGCTTATGATCTTATCTTCATCTGGACTTTTTCACTGTTCTACATTGCTTCATAGCTTGTGTTTATTTCCTTTAATACCTTTGAAAATACACACTGAGTCAATGTGAGATTGTCTAAGAGCAAATAACAAAGAAGATTTGTTTCTAATCCTGAGAGATAGCCTGTACCAGCATGGAGTACTTGGACAGAAAATGCAACGTGACTTTTCCTTACCTCTCTGCCAGTGTTTGCTGCTCATTGATTCCAACATTAAAGAGCACTGGATACATGCGAAGCAGCTTTCCCTCTTTAATCTCTTGTGGCAGCAGCTCAAACATCTTTGCTGGGAGCTGGACCTCTATAATGTAATGTTCACTAGCAACAATGAAAACAAGAGTGAGGATGGGGTTCTTGAATGTCAGGAAAAGTTTCTTCAGCCAGAGAATGGTTGAGCAGGTTGAACTGGCTCCCCTGGGAAGTGTCACAGCACCAAGCCTCACAGAGTTCAAGAAGCATCTGAACTCTCAGGCACGGGGTGTGATTCTTGGGAAGCCCTGTGCAAGGCCAGGAGTTGCACTTGATGATGCATATGGGTCCCTTCTAACTCAAAATATTCTGTGATTCTGTAAAGAATGTTCCAAAAGCGCCTCTAATAAAAGAATGGCCTCTAATAAAAGCATGTGAGCTCCTGAACAGAATTTCACCTCCCCTGGGTGGCTGGTGTCTACCACCCACACCAGATGATCAGTGCACTGCTAGACAGTGCCACACACTTTGGATTGATTTGTTTGTGCACACAGAATGTCAGGTTTAAGCACTTTCCTAGAAAAAACAATTACAAGTAAATATGCTGACTCTTCAAGATAAGAATTTGTAGTTTGATTTTTCTGTCTTGCATTTCTACAGTCTTTCACTCTCATTTATTGAGCCATACCATATAACAACCAAAATAAAAATGGAGGGTTTCTAAAAAAATTATTAGAAAATAACTAGATTTTCACCTTTTCATCTTTTCTTTTTACGGTTCACTTCCAATGCTGTTTGATAGGAGCAGTCTTATCACAGCTCTAAGAGGAATGGCACTCCTCCACATAAACCTTGTAGATTTTATTTTTAAAATTTTTTTAATTTTAATTATTCCCATTGTATTGCCTATCATATTCCAGCCTTCCTGTTATTTATTCAATCCCTTCTCAGAAAGCCCATATGATGAGAGTGAATCATCCAGATTAATTAAGTAAATCAGTGGTGAAAGCCCCCTTCAGAGGAAACATATATTTTCTAAAAGTTCCTGCTTTTAGCTGAATTTAATTTACAGTCATCTTAAGAGCAATGATACTATTAAGGAAGTGATTTTTGCAAAATAAAACTATTTGGAGCTTCAGACTAGAATAATAATAAAGATGAAAAATCCATTCCAATCTTGTTAACCCTCAAATAGCCAAAATAAACGGAGTATTGCAGTATATGTCCTGACATTCAGCAGTACTCACGTGAGATTCATAAAGGATAAGTGATTTTGTGCAAGGATTTCTGAGACTGCCTATGTCCTGTGTGATTTTCAGCAGCTAAAAAAGGCTTCCATTTTTAAAAGTGACTACTAAGTTTTTAATACTAAGTGGCATCGGAGTTTTTTGGTTTCCATCTTAAAAACAATCAAGGCCTAACTCTTGGAACTGCAGTTTCATTTCTCATGCTGAAATACAAATTCAGGACATTCAAAAGCAAAGTTTCTCAGTTAGAGACCACATTTGTAAACAATGGCCTTGTCACTTGCCCAGGGTTCGGTATCCATGTGTGAATAATGCACCAGCAGCTCTGCACAACACAGACGCTGCTCAGATTAATCTGTATTAGTAACTGGAACTTCAGCTTTTTATCAGGAGAGTAACCCAGAGCCTACTGGCTTTTAGAATCCCTACTAACTCACCTTCTAAAAAGTAAAACAATGCACTTTCAATAAAACAGAACTCAGCAACAAGAAAACCATTAGACGGGTTTCATGGGCTACAGATTAAAACTGCAGCTCAGTTTCCTGGGCTCCAAGAAACAAAGTTCTTACCGCCTTCCACTTATAATAGGCAAAAAATCTTCTGACTTGGCTTCAATTACTCTAAACATTACTTTCTGCAAATCTGAAATGCCCACAGCCATGTCTTCGAGCATCCCTGCTTCTTCACCTACATGAAAAGATTAAAGAGACTATTAACAGAGTTGGCAGATCAGTCACTGTATAGGTCAGGGCAAAGCAATATATTTTCCAGTCTGTGCATCTAAAAATCACAGTTCTAAATCCACATTACAGTAACCTACATAAAACCAGACTCATTTCTTGAACTGCTGACAATTCTGTGCCCTAAATGGTAACCATGAGTATTAAGCAATTCTGAAAATCAGCCTGCTCTATATAGACATAAAATAACCTCAGAAAAGCCATTTTTGTCTATTCTGAAAGTTTTCAAAAGGCTTTCCTGCTGATGGAGGACAAAGGTTTTGAGAATAAAAACAAGCATCATGTAAAATGAAGAAGACAGCTATCTCCAAATGAGCAACTGCATAATAAAGCTGCACAAATGCTAAATTCCTCTACTTTAGTCAAAATCTCTGATTCAGGGAATGATTCCAATAGATCTAGTTCAAAGTTTGAAAGATAAGGCAATTTCTCCCTCCAAATTTCCTTTTTAATACATATCAAATAATGGCATGTGTAACAAACTATGAAACTCTTTTCAGGCTATCTTCACATTATCAGCACTGGGGATCAGGGCCGAGGCTGATAAAAGCAGTAAGTGTTTAAATCTTCCGTTTGCATTAGTTTTATAAACCTGCTATTTTGGGTCAGGTCTGCATGGAACAATAAGCAGGCCGTGTTCTCTGAGGAACTCAGAATGAAACAGATTAATAACTTTTGCTGCAGAATTAACAACACAGTGTCAATGACTTCAGCTGTGCTATTATGTGCAAGTCTACTGTCTTGTAAGGACAAGATTTGATTCAGCAAGCCAAATAAGAGGCTTGCTGAGGTTAAAATAAGAACTTCCTGGGTAACTTCTGGGCAGGGAACATAAGGAACTTTGTCCAAGAGCAATACTTACTGTATGTGCTAAGGAGTCCTTCATACTGCACCAGCAATCCAACAGTGTGAAGCTGTTGTAAAAATCCTTGATCATGTAAACCTGTGTGCAATTTGATTGCAAAACCACAGACCAATCCAGCGAGTTGTAAAGATAATTAAAACATGTGCAAGAGTGTTACAAGACAAACAGATACAAGACATTTCAACTGTTACAAGACAAACAGTTAAAATGAGGCTTGCCATCATTATACACAACAGAGGTAGCACCTACATATTTGAGAAATCAGCATAGGTATTTCTGTTTAGTGACTAAGTACATGATTTCATAATAATGTATTTTGATGGGTTTTTTGGGGGTGTATAAAGTAGTGAAATATTCTGTTAAGGTATATTAGATAAGCTTAATTTGTTTTGTATCATTGTGTGTTATTTACACTGACATAAATAAGACCAGAACCTCACTTGTCAGGCTTCAAACATGCAAGACTGTGAATTAAACATGTGAATTCTGATGGATTTGAAAGTGGTTCAACATCTAATGTAACTGAATCTCCTAGGCAGCTGCCAACTTAAGAGAGAAATGAAGTGAAATGTTTAGAAAAAAATCTATCTGAAAAAAACATGATATACAGGAGAAGACATAAAGAGCTTCAGTTATTTGCCAAGAAAAGACAGTTCTAAGGAAAGACATGCTAATAGTATTTAAACACTTAAAACACTGCCACAAACTGAAAACAAATTGTCTTCTCCCTATTTCCAAGGTGACCAGGAGAAAAAAATCTCCCTGGCTTGGATGCTGCCTAGCCAGTACCATGGATTTCTACTTCCTATTTAATTTCTTACCACATTATAAATTATTTAGGTGAATATAATGGAAAATAAATGAAAAAGCTGTATCAAATTGTAAGGGAAAAAAAAAAAACCAATGAGAAAGAAACCCACAAACACTGGCATGAAGAGTATGCTTATAATTAGAGCAAGAGAAGGAAGTGAGCGACACAAGACAACCTACTGCTTGGCTGAAGACGATGTCTCTCCTCAGGGTCAGCATCAGGCACTGGGGCAAGCCACAGGCAAGTTCCTGGAGCAGGACAAAGGCCATGGACTGCTTGGCCCTGGTCACCACCTCTGCCATGCAGTCCTTCAGCGTGACCACCAGCGGGTACAGCTGCTCGTACCAGTCACCTACAACACGACAGGTCATCTGCTCCAGACTGGAAAACTCGCAGTGAAAAACCCTTCTTCACTAGGAAGGATGGCAGGAGCAGCTGTGCACATCACCCTTCCCTTTAAAACAACCCCTGCAGCTCTCCCCAGACCACTGTGGGACCACAAATGCCACTGGAGAACATACTTATAAGCAGGATTCCATCTTACCACTGGGAATGGGGTTAAATCCCTGGCCTGAATCCAACTGCACTCTGAAACAATGGCCTTTTCCAACAGTCCCAGCATCCCTGTAAAACTGGTATTCAAGTGTCACAAACAGAGTACACAGGGAAACACATAAAACCTCATTTAGCACACAGAGATTAATACAGTGGCGATGGAGTCTCCTTTCAGGACTCAGAACTGGCTATGTAAGAAATGAAATAGCATCAAAAATGCAAAACCAGAGAGAATAACCAAATATTTAAGAAAAGGTGGGTGCTGGAGGGTAAAACACAATAACAAATAGGTATCTGGAAGGGTATCACCTACTTAATCTACAGGCTGGAAATATAAAAAGCTTCAGACCATATTCCTTTTTTTTTAGATTCTGTGTTGTTCTCTTTAAACATTTAGACATTTTGAACTCATTTTAGCTATTTCTATCAGAGAGATGCAGAGTATTTTGAAACATGTTTTTCTCTATGAAAATACACGCTAGGCATATTAAAAAAAACACTCATGAAATGATTGAAAAATGTGATTCCTTAATACATTACAAATGAAACAGTGATAACTAGGAATGGAGGAGAATTGGAACACCTTACACAAACTTGCCCAATAATCCCAGCTACTCCTGAATTTTATATGATTTAATAAAATCAGACCTGCCTGGTAGTTGCATATGGCTTTGCCTACCCCTAAGTTGAGCAAATAATAAAAACAAATAAATAAATCCCCCTCCTTCAGAATCTACATCTCAGTTTGATTGTACAGTTTGAAATGAGGGAAATCAACACTCTAGAAGAATCTATATAAAAGTTGGGAATGCAACTGACAATGCAACAGTCTATAATTGGCTCATATTTTCTGTAGGTCAGTGTAATTAAGAATCAATGATAATTAAAATCTGTTGTAATTAGGTGCAAGACAGCAGCGTGTTGTTTCAGGTAACATTCTGAGTCAGGCCAGTAAAACCTCATTAGAACTGAGGAAGTTCTTGAGGCAGAAGACAGCTGCCTGTTGCCAGTCAATTTGGCTGAGCTCCAGAAAAACACACAAATTAATAAAACTGCAGCCAAGAAGACTGCAGAGAGCTTTGAAAGCTGGGAGAAATTAGAGAAAGCAAGGAGCAGGAAAGGGGAACAAGGACAGAGCATGCACAGAGAATCGGATGAGCTCTTTGTTAACTTTGTGGTCAGACAACATGAGTTTTACCACAGTCATACATATTTAACCATGAGTAACACAGACTGAGGAAGCATTCCCTGGAAAAAAGCAGTTCTGAAGCGAGTGTCATCCTGACAAAACAGAGCATGAGCCACCCCCAGGCACAAGCTCCAGGTGATTTTATACATGTCATTGGCTAACAGAGTGATGACACGCTGTGTGCCAAACGCTGGTGTACACGTTTTAGAGAGGCTGCTGGAAAAATGGAGAGCTTGCAGCGCAGAGCTACCAAGATTTAATCTCCTTAAGCTGATGAAAAAGACTGAGCAGCAACTTGATTTCCCCTCTTCCTGAGGAGAAAATAACAAGAACTAACTGTGGTGTTTATTCCAGGGAATAAAAGCAAAAGAACAACCAGAGGCTGCTGCAAAACACAGACGAGTTTAGAAATAAGGTAGACAAAAAAGTGTAATGTACTGGAAGCCAGTGTAGACAGATCAGGCAATCTAAAGTCTCAGTCAAATTACAATCCTTTATTAATTTAAGCAATATACATATGCCAATAAAAGCATCAGCAGCAAAGTAAGCTCAAAGTCTAAAGTCTAAGAGTTCTCTTAGAGTGACTCAGTAAATCATATTGTATACATTTTAGAATAAGATATTTTTCAGAATACCTTTGTAGAATCACTTCAGGAAAGGAATAATACAAATTATTGCTTTTAACACATTCATGGACTCACACACATTGAGCCTTCGGATCTCAACTTTCTTTTAAATTAAAATCACAGCGGAAAATTGTTTGAAGAAGGGGTGAAGAATTAACTGAATGAGTGACCATCTAAAAAAAGGAGATTAGAAGCAAGAACAGAAGCGACAAGGAGACTCCGGGATGACTGTCAGGTTGCTAAAATGACATGGGCAGCCTGTCAGTTTGGAACACTTAGCATCCAGAAGAACTGTCAGAGTCTCCGGATAAAGCAAAGAAACTCAGCACAAAAATAGAGCTAGTCAGCCACGGGAAACTAAAACAAGGCATGAAAACCAAACATATTAAATTAAAAAATTAAAGGATGAAACTAAAAGGACAGTACCACCGCTATGCAGTTAGAATGAGATTAAAACAAAAGTGCATGTTCCACAAAGCACTGAGTAAATATTCCATGTTCATTGCCAAGAGAGTGATGGCAGCTCAGTCTGTGACAGGATTTGCCCTTTGGTTACTGGAAAACGCCCTTCAGCCCCATGTTCCTGTAATCAACAGGCTGTGCAGGCAAATGACCTGCTTAGCACCCAGCTAGTCAGTTCTGCGTGCTCATATCCAAGTTGCAATATGTCAAACCACATGTTAAATTTTATAAACTTTGGCAGAAAAGCAAGCTTCTGGTCTTTTCAAAGTCAGGCCCACTGAAATGCTCATTAAAATATGCTGGTAACCAAAAAGGATGCTTCAGCATAGTACTCCTATCTCCTTTAGCCCTAGCAACAGATTAAAAAAGCCAATTTTGTCACTGCTATTTGTGCCACCTAAAATCCATAAATTGCTTTAAGTCACTTCAAAACTTGAATGGTATGAAGTTAAAAAACCAAACCTTAAAGAAAAAGCAGAAGAATGCATAATGTTGTGCCCTTAAAGCAAAGGGGGGCACTACAGCCACACAAATGTAAGAAATACAAATATAAATGTGACGTATAAATGTAACAGCAGATACCCACGAGGTAACGTTTCACTTAAATTAATCACTCGCTACCTGATCATAAAAATATTCCATGACAGAATTGAAATAATTAGAGGTAAAAAAACATAAATGAGTTGTCTTTATATCACAAAGTGATCATTAGACAAACTCTGTTTTAATGAAAAAGGCAGGCAAATCAAACCAACCAACCAACACAGCAGCAGTAAATCCCTAAAATCAGCATGAAATAATTAACCCAGAATTTGATTTTACTGACTTAGGAAAGGAACAGTCTTTGAATTAATGTTTTTTTTTTTTTAAAAGGGAGGTTTAAAAAGACAGAAGATTGCACATATTCAACTTTGCACCATAAAAAGGTCAGTGCCTTATTTCTTTATTTTGCCACGCAGCTCTTGGAGCTCAGCTGAACTGCAGCTGAGGGCTAAGCTCTTTGAAAAAGGAGGAGGCTTTGTACTCATAATGCTGCAGCAGTTCTTGCAGGAACAATAAAAACCTGAATAAGATTTCCTGGTGTTCCTGCACTTGAAGGTAGCAGTTTGCTTTGCACAGTTTGGGTGTCCAGAAATTTGGAATTCTTGGGATTTATTATTCCACTGCAACCATCCAAGATTTTCTCCACTGTCACATGGATTAATAGCTAAACCCAAAACCATCCAATAATACCTACATGAGCATCTCAGCATGCTTAGTCAGAGTGAAAACAGAAAGAGAGGACAAAGGTAATAAAAGACAAAGCTAAGAAAATCTAATACACTTTAAGCATAGGGAGGTTCTGTGAATGCTGTGCAACTAAATATTCTTATATCTTGTTTTAGTTTGTTGATTCAGTTAAACAGTCTTTCCCTTACATATTTTTCAGCTTCTGTTTTTAGCCAAAGTACTTAGAGAAAGTACTGCTGAAGGGGATTGTCTTGTATTCCTGGGCTACATTCAGCCCAGATAAGGATCCTATCAAAAAGAAAAGGATGACACAGAAGAGAGGGGAAAAGGGGAAAAAAAAGCATAAGTAAAACTTTTGTAAATACAAGCTTCAAAGAAAAGGAAGGAAAAATGTGAGGAAGAGGAAGGAAAGAGAAAGCTTTTCACATGTGACTGCTCTAAATAAATTATGTCTGCTGCTCAAGGACACAGACCACAGAAAAATTTTTCATCTTCATGACTAAACAATATTTTATAATAAAAGCTTTTCTGAAGATTCCAATAAAACTAGAGCACGGCTTTATTTCCCACAGAACATAGCTTTATTTCCCACTTCTACCAGCCTGCATTGGAAGGGATGCAACGAAAGATGTAGTCCCCATCCCCAGGGCAATGAAAGTCCGAAATTTTGAATCTAAACTTATATAGTCCCCAACAGGTATGAGATAATACAAGAAAAATAAACCCACATGTGTCTGTAGCAATGTGAGTATGAACAGAGGTCTCCTGTAATTCCAGCTAGGAAATGTGGCAATGTTCCCCAGGTGCTCTTTGCAAACCTATGCTGAAGGTTATCAAGGGCCAGTTCACGGAGCTCATGATTCCATAATTCACTTAAAGGCAAAATCCAGGTGCAATCACACTGGCAACTCAAATTGTTTGTGATGCTAGGTGGATCCTGTGTGTATCAAATGGGGGAGTCCTCACGCAGAGGCAGCGAGGGAACGGCTGGGTGGGAGCTCTGACAGGAGGCACGAGCAGCAGACAGAAACAGCAGCCACATGCAGCAGCCAAGCACAGACATCTGTCGGGGCTGTGCCAGCACCAGAGCCAACGCTGTGTTCCACTGGCACCTCTAATGCTGCAGGACAGGCTTTCACATCACAACTCTCACGGAAAACGAAAAGGCAAAAGTGAAAAGAATTTAATGTTGTCACATATTTCTCCAAGGCAAACCAGACTAGAGTCAGAAGAACAACAAAAAAGCCCTCTCCTTAAAAATCCTTCTACTCTTCCTGATTTATCCTGCAGAGGATTCATAATCCTGCGACTGATGAAACCATAGCATGTTACCTTGGTAACTGTAACTCAAATTCAGTCTTTAGAATACACTCAAAGGTCAGACTGCATGAAAAGTTAAGGCTAAGGAAGGTATAATTCACATTGAAAGGCAGAGTACAGCAAAAAAAAGTGCTCCAGTATCTCCAATTACAAAGATTCCAAACAACAAATATAAACATGTTTGAAAAAAGAGAGTAAGACCACACAATGCCATAGTCACTGAGACTGCAAATATCAACCTACTTTAGGAAACTCTGAATATATGTTACAACAATATCTAAATTTATATGAAAATGCTATTGCATCAAAATATTGTCATAATATTTTCTATCATCTAAAATGAACAGATGTGCATTTTTTGAAAGGTCTTTCATTGCTATATGCTACAAAAAACCAGTCAGGTTCACTAAATAAGCAAAAATTTAATCTCATACTTCAAGGCTTATTTGTTATTATTTTGTTCAAAACTCTGCATTCTTTTTCTTACAAAAGCAGCCCAATTTCTCTGAGTATCAACTAAAGCAGTTTCAGACTTAAAGATCAACCTGTGCCATATATTTGCAGTATTAATGAAATACATTATGCTCAAATATGCTCAAATTATGTATAATATATAAGCAAGATGTGGCAAGCTTTTCATTTATGTCACGTTTGTGAATTTTAAGTAGTGCAAAAGTCTGTTATTTTAGAAATGTATCTATGGGCGTACACAGTGTGATTTTGTATCTAGGAAAATGCTGTGAACTCATAATCAGGCTTCAAGTTTAAAATGAAGCAGAATTAAAGCCAAATTTGTAACTGTAAACTTGGAATCTCAACCTCTGTGTAGTTGCTTCACAGTGCAGCCTTAGGGTTTCACGTTAAATTTCAGAGAGGGAGATGCAGAGAAAAACAAACATCTACACCCACACTCTCATAGAGAAGTCAAGCATGAAAAATTCTGGCCCCAAAGTTTTGAAAATCATTAGGGAACCAACTTTGGCACACACCTGGAAAGCTCTTCGGAAAGCTCCATCTTTCAAGTTAGTCCTATAAAAGAAAGCAATTTTAAAACGTCTCCATCTCTATGTGACCTTGAAAGTCCTATAAACTGTCCAAGGCATTCCTAAAACGATGTCTTACTCAAAAAGGACATGAAAACACAGCAGTTTGCCCCACAGATCTCTGCAGCTCTCATGTGAGGGAGTGTTAGAGAACTTTCAGGACAGCTCAACAAAAGCACTGCTCTCACTGAAGGACACCTGTACTTATTCAAGAGAAATAGGGATGGCTCTGAAATGAAGAAAAAAGCAAGAATTTATTCCAGCATCATAGCAGTTGGATATTTTTTGTGTCTTTGGCCCACCAGCTCCAGAAGACAACCTCTCAGCTGGATGAAGCTCATCTAAAATTTTCTAACCATCACTATTATCATTATTGCTAAGCAAGAGCTACCTTTCATTCTACTTGATGACTTGATGGCTGCCTTATTACAGTACTTTAAATGATGCAACTTTGCTTTTTCCTTTTTTGTTTTTGGCTTGTGACCTAAAAGTTGTAACCAATATTTCATTTGCCTGTGCTGGTTAAATCCATAACACGGCGTATAGCAGAGGAGATACTCAGGGGGTTGAAGAGAGTGAAGGAAATTAGGGAAAAGTCTGTAAAAGTCTGTAAAAGGCCCACCATCTAAGGATTCTCCCAAGTTCAAAACTACACCTACCTAGCTGTTGAATATTTGTACTTTCTCTGAGGAAGGCGGGAAAGGTGTAGAAAGCTGTGTTGATATTTTTCACCTGCAAGCCTTCACTAGAGAGCAGAGATTATATCACCCTCCTGTCTAACATTACATGCCTGGTAGACAGAAACTTAGAGAACCAAACAGATAAGGAATAAGCTGCTCTCTGAACAAATCACACAAAATCAAGTCCAACACATCTTGCACTGAAAACAAGGATGCCAGGACTCCAGCATAAACCTCTCACACTGGTAAAATGCAGATGTTACAGCTGCATTAAAAATCAATACTACAACCAGAATTCACAGATCTCACCAGTACTACACAAATGACATAAAACTTTAAAAGTGATTTTAATTCTTGTTGTGTAAGAAATAAATTACAAGTGAGTACTGATAACTTTAAAAGTCTTTATATAAAATGATGTAATTAAATTCCGTGGAGAACATGTAAGGGAAGACACAGGATAAAATGCACAATGAAAAAAAAGAAAATTGAAACTATACAAAACTGTACAAAATAAAGCAGTTGTGTTGGTTTGTTGTTTTGTATGGGGAGTTGATTTATTTAGCCAAAGAGTGGCACAAAGGTTGGCTCTGATGTCCTTCCATTAGGACTACTACCACCATCACTAAGGATCTGTTTCATTTATTGCAACACACTTTCAGACTAGAAAATCCCATTAGACTTATTAAGCAGATATAATCTATGCATCAAGAATGCAAACATGAATCATAGGAGAAGATCAGAAGAAGATCAGAAGATGAGAAGGAGAAGATCAGAAGGTGACAAGGACCCTTGTCACAAAATTTTCTTTACATCATCCCACTGAATTATTCCATTTGACCTTTTGACACAGGCTGACAGGTATATCCAGGTAAACATGAATTTTATCAAATCAGAAAATAAAACTCAGTATATCACCTCAGAAAAGCAGAAGCATTTGCAGGAGAATGACACTGATTCAGAATGTTCACCTTTCCTTACAAATTTTCTATGGGGTAAGACACAGTCCAATTTTTTTTTTCCTCAAAATACTACACGCAAGTAAAATCTAGAGTAAATTAAATTACATCAGCCTACAAAAAGAAAAGACTGTAGTTTCAAAAGGTTTACACTCTAGTACAAACAACTGCACATGGCAAGCAGTCTGAGCACACATTAAAGCTGTACTTTGATAAATAACCTCCCACAAATGTGTAAACCTTGCCATTAGCACTCTCATCAAAGATACTATGGAGTCTTCTCTAGATGACTTTTCTGTAGCTGTGCAAATTTTTCTTTACTCTTGTCAATGACTAAAAAAAAAAAAATTAGGGGAGGTTGCTTACCGCCTGTATGCAACACCTTGCAATCTTCTGCTGAAGGCTCATTTTCACCCTCTTTGATGTTGCTGATGTTGTCCTTTTCAAGCAGCCTGTCCACCATGGCAATAAGGCAGTTCAAACTCTTTGCCACGTTGGCCCAGACCCTGTCCTGAAAAGACCAGAATTATCACTGCATGTTACTGCAGAAAAAAAACCAAAAAGGGACAATAGTAAGTTATTCATGATGTTAGCATACGACTGCTCCTCTCATCCTTCAGCCTATTACCAACCTGAGCCTTTTTCATGGAGATTCTCTTGCAGCGTAAATGAACCCAAACTTTTATGGTTTTAGACACTGTGCACAAGCGCTTCAAACTCGACATAATGCAGACAAAGTTTCAGGTCTAATAGCAAGGAACTGAGCAGCTTGTCTATTTAAATGATACCTTAAGAGTACAGACACACTCAAAGCTTGACAAATGAAACCTTGTGTGGGCCAGTTTTGTCACAGTGTTTAATAACCTCTTTTTGATAATTTAACATATCCTGTATTTTATCACATCAGTTACTCTGCTGAAGAAAATGTTAATTCAAGGACTAAAATGAGAAACTTGCTGTCATGGCATATTTATTAGCTAACACAATTTCAGTTTTGTTCCTCACCTCTCACACAAACTGCAACCATCACACTTAACTGAGTTTACAATAGGAGAATTAGGGAAGTAATAGAGAGGTACAAAAAGTTCTGTACAAGCAGAGAGGAAAAGAAATCATGTGGAGCATAAGAAAGAGCTGTTATGGATCAGAGATATAGGGAGGGTCCTTCAGGTGCTGGATGCTGCAGAAATCAAAGCTTTTGCACCTACTTTTGCAGCACTGAATAAGAAGGAAGAAACCAAGCCATACAAGTAATGAGGCTGTTCACAAGACAAGCAATCAGACTAAAACCAAACCATAACAAACCCACAGAAACCACCCTTCCCTCTCCAAGTATATGTTTCAATGCTGAGTCATTCTGAAAGTATTGCAGAGCAACCAGAGTTTGCTTGAGGGTTAAAAATGGGAATTTAACATCACTGCTTTGTTTTGTATTTTACAGAGCCAGAAGCATTATGTATTTGTCAGGTCTTCAGGCAGAAAAATGAAGTTGCAAAAATACCAAGAGAGAAGGTTAAAGAAAACTGAGAACTCAGAGAAATAGCATAGTTCCGTTTAAATGGCAACCCTTGGATTTTGAGTGGAGGCAAATCTAGAGCCACTGCTAAGGCAAACATTTAAATCTAATGTCGCTTTTCAACTATATGCCTCGCTTCAGCCTGACTAGAGGGATCTTATCTTATGCCCTGCTCCCTCCTCCTGAGGACACAAAAGACTGAGGGCAGGTATAGATTCCTTCAAAAGTTTCCTCCTCTATGCACTTCAAGCAATCCTGAAAAAACATTTACAATATGTGTGAAACTACTGATTTTTACCGCCCACAAGCATAATTCTGGGGAGAAGGATTCTATGAAGAATCCTCCAGAGTATAAGGGAGCTTCAGAGCTTTCAGTCACTGAAGTTGCTGAGGAATATGCAAGTGAGGTTGCTCAGAGAAGTTGGAGCAATCTAATTTCCCTTTTCTTTTGTGTGATGGGGGAACTTAATTCCTGCACAAAAAAAGCATTAAGCTCTTAAAGAGCATCTGGAGTTATTGCACAAGCAACACAAATATGAGCCCTTGTTTCACATTGGAAAGAGCACTTTTTTCAAACCAACTATTAACCCAGCATTGAGATGATTTCTATACAATATTCCCACAAACGTTCCCTGAGGGTTTAGAAGCGAAATTCATAAACATCTGTTGACAGAAAGCTCACTCTTATTATCATGTATCTGGCTTTTTTATATACAAGCAACTGAGAGGGAGCAAGGGCCTGTTTCACAGCCCCTTTTCTCCACACAGGAGGCTCCTGGGATTGTGGGCAGATAGAAAATGTAGAGGCATCTATTTATCATTCATTGAGATGTTATTCTGTCTGCACCAAAGGCAGTCACGTTTATCTAAGAAGGCTGTTGAAATTCTGCAGTTTGGCAGGAACAATTTTCAAGTAAAACTGCAGTTTCCCATCACTGAAAATCAAGTGGCTTCTATGATTCTCCATGAGAAGAAATTAATCCGTTTCTTTGTTGGAGAATTTTGCTCAGACATGGCTTGAAGGAAAAAAGGCCATGAAAATATACAGCTGATTGAAAAGTAAAAGGCAGCTGTAAACAGCAAAGTTCTCAGGCTTGTTTTTAATAACAAGTAAATACCTTGTCCTTGGGTAGTGATGGGAAAGCAGTGACAAACATGGAGGCCTTGAGAACAGTTAATAACAGGATGAGAAACACAAGTTTTGGTCTCAATAACAAACCACAGGTATTGAAAACAAGAGGAGGGGTTGCTGTGTAATCTGTAGCCAATGATGAGCTCGGGTTTTGCAATATGTATGAACTTAATTAACACGGTTATAAAAATGTGCATGTTAGATCAATAAATTGGAGTTCGATGCTGATCAATTAAGATGGGCCGTCTCCCTTCACTTCGTCACTTCTTATTGTCATCTTTTACTACTTCCAGAATATTTTCCTGTAGCCTAGCACTGACCTTTCATCTTCTTAAGCAGATGAAAAGATGGAAAGGCAGGCCTTGGCATCAGTGAAAGCTGGGCACCTCTCCTAGGACAATTAAAAATGAGCCTGTAAAATAATTCTCTTTCATTCATCCAACTGAAAAAATTGTAATTAAGTTCCATCTGATCAGAAAGTATCATTAAAAACTAAGACACCTTCCTCATTTCAGAGAGCAGGAATGGACACTCCTTTCTGTCACTGCACCTGACTGGATGTCTTCCTTCTAAACACTGCCAGCCAGTGGAGTCCCAGAGGCTGTTTCTGTTTTTAAAGGATTCTCAGCCTTTCCGAATTCACCACAGAGCTCCTCAGTCACTTCTTGTCCCTCCATACACACCACTTCAGCTGTGTGCTTTGCTTGTGCCATGTATGGCACAGCATCTGCACGTCCAAGCACTCTGAAGATGCTGTGTCACCTTCATTTCAGTGGATATTCAGATAATTCCTTAAGGCCTTTTTGAGCTCTGCTCAGAGATTAACACCCTCGTGGGCTGCTTCAAGGGTCAGCTTAAAGAGTTGTTTAAGGATGTAGATTTCAGGCAAAACTAAAGTTCCAACTGCAAAATGTAACACTAGTACTTATAATAGTACTTATAACACTTAGTACTGATAATAGTGAGGAAAAAACCTACAACAGCAAAGGAGGATAGAGCATTGTGCATACAAAGCAACATATATTAAAGTTTTTCCCTTTATAGTTGTGTTTCACAGTGGATTAAGTGTTTTTTCAAATTTTACATGCCTTTATTCTTTCTCTTTCCATCGTGCTAATCACAATTTGATTATTAAAACTCATATCACCTCTACTGACAGAAATAACTGAAAAGTTTAACCATTCAAATCCAGAAAAAATCACAAAATTTCTCCAAAATTTATACTGTCTCAAGTTTGACAATGACTCTGACTCAGCTCAATTCAGAAAACAGTGAATGATACATTTAATTTGAATCAAGATTACTAATTCAGCAGAAAAAAATGAATGCTGTTTAAAATGACCCACTTATGCAGTTTAATAGGTGAGGACCAAGCACCTGGCGGCTTTTAGTTATGAATTACAGCAAAGCTATCTTCTCTTCAGAGATGCTGAACTGCAGTACTGAATTAAAATGCAGCTTTCACAAATGCCACTTTTTCCAGTGCAAAATTTATCTCTTTTACAAAAACTATTGTGTTATTTATATCTCTAAATGTTTCAACAGCTAAAAACAAACATTTTGGCTTTAGTTCAAGCAAAGAGCACCATTCCAGCCCCTCAGGTTGTTGAGAAAACAAGAAAAAGTGAATTAAAGGCTCTAAAACTGGAGGACAAATGAAATAATGAGTTATTTATTGTTTAAATTTCACGAATACTTAATGCATGGGGCTGGAAATAATTGCCTTTCTTCTAGAAGAAATATATTCTTCTTCCTTTATTTTTGGTGTGGAAAAAATTACAGGTTAGGTGGAATACCATAGCTCACACAAGTTATTAATTATTTACAATAGAGATGAATATGCTGACATCCTTTACGTCTATGAGAATACAGTGATGAACTCAAAGCATGAGCCTGGACTGAATAAAAATAGCTTGAGTACGTATGAAATAAAGTAACAGACCTATTAAAGAAGACATCCACCAAAATAATTGATTTATAACATTTCAGCCATATAAATAATACATATCTTTGAAAGATATGCTAAGAATGTTAAAATCCAAACACTGTATTTAATTCTTTTACAGAACCTCAGACAGTTTCTAAGAACAGAGTCTAGGGGCAATGGGCTGAGGGTTAATTCAGTGTATTTAAAATGATTACAGCCTGAGGGCTGGAGAGGGGTGTTGCAGGGGGTGGGGAAGAAAAAAACCATTTCCCTGTGAACAGCATATACTGTTCCAGTCCTTAAATCTGCCCAACTAGCAAAACCAACCCAAGTAAGAACAAAGACTATTCTTGTGTCTGGGCAAGAATACACTCAACACCTTCACTGTTCTATGCACAACTAGGCAGTCTCAGAGCAGCACACTGTACTTAGGCAAAGCCTTGCAATTTAGCTTCAAAATCTGCATATCTGCGATGCATCTGAGAAGCACAATTTTACAGTTTTGCACCCCTTTGCCCCCTGCAACGGCATGTGACAAGGACACTGAGGGCTTGAGGTGGCTTATGCTAATTTGTAGGGTTTCACTGGCCAAGGGTTTCTGTCCACTTACCCACTCCTCCTCATCATACTCAGAATGATGGGGTATGGAGTCCTGCCTTTTGACGTGAGCAGGATGGTCCTGGTGCTGTGCATCAGCCCCTTCCTCTGCACTGCTCCTGGGCACAGCTGGTTTCTTGAGCACACAGCCAGGCCGGGCCGTGTACAGCGCTAGAAGGGCACTTCTCACCAGCTGGTCCTTGAACGTGTGCACAAATAACTCCGTCTAGGGAAAAAACCAAACCAATGGAAAGGTTAGAGCAAAGAATGTGGTATGGCAGCAAAGCTGTGTAACACTGAATTATCCTTAGGCAGAGCGGCTATTTGTTTCAGGCCTGCCTGGGAGGCAGAAAACAAAGTAGGCCAACAAATAATGAGGAAAATTTCAAGAGTTTTAGAGATCACATTCTACAATCCCAGTGTTCTAAGCATTAACACAGGAGCACATTATCTGTCAGAGATCACAATCTTTTCACATTTTATTTGAATTCCAAATTTCACCTCAGAGGCAAGCCTCAACAAGAACCACTTCCAAGAGTAACCAACCACAGCACAATGATTTCTGAATAAGTGTAAGATAAAACACAATTAACCAGTTCAATAATCTCTCTAAATAAAACCCACCACTCTACAATGCTGAAATAGCAGTATCTGCAAAAGCAGTATTTCCACAGATAAGTTTTACTACTGGTAGGTGTCAACCCAGATATCATGGTAGGTGACACCTGATTTCAAGCTTGATTTTTTTGTATATTTTAAAGAAAGGAAACTCTGAAGTTGTCTTCTCGGGTCTTCTGAAGATGCTATTCAATCTCTGCATCATTTTTCTATGTTGACTGTTACAGCTGGCATTTTACCGTATTTTTTAAATCCTTCAACCTCCCTGCATTATTCATCTCCCTTCCACCTCAACAAGGAAAGTATGCCTTTGTGCAGACAATCTTAATTAAACAGGGATGTGGGAAGGTATGTAGATAAGAGTCAGAGGATCCAGCCTCAACCAGCAGGAAATGCCAAAAATGAGGGCTGCCCAGCCAAGCTCTCTTCAGCCCTTATGTGCTGCTTATGCAAAAACTGGAGGGAAAAGTAGCCAAAAAAACCCCAAAACAAACAAGTGCCAAGTGCCAGCACCTCCCTGGAACTCCTGAGAAGATTCCTGGAAGTCTTTTCTCCCAGTTTCTGCATTTCTTATCCTATCCCTTTCTTCATGCTACCTGTTCCTCTTTTGCACCCACTCCTACTCAACTTCTTTTTCTTGCCTTCCTGTCTCAAGACCCTCTCAAAAGTTTACAGATATTTAAGACAGAAAGGCTCTAAAAAATTAATGGTTTTCTTAAGGCTCCAGCTGCTAGGTGAGGTACTTAAATGAGAAGTTTCTGTCTTTCCCATTTTCATTATGTTTACCAAAAAAATGCTTTCTGAATTGTTTCACATGGACGGGCTGAAAATTTTACTCCAAATAAATCTCTACAGTTCTAAAAATAAGAACTGCAGGCACATCTAAGAAAAATTATTGATTTTTTAAAACCAAAATCAGACCTGACTTGGGATTCTTTAGACTTGGCAACGCTACTCATCTCCCTGGCGATATTACCAGACCCATTCCTTCTCCTCATTACCAACTTGGTGCCTGAGGGAAAGGCCATTTTTTAACAGTTTTCTCAGGACTGTCTCCTCGTTGTCCTGAATTGCTCTGCAGGACAATTGCAGTTTTCTACATTTCCAACCCAGATGGTGCATGCCTGGAGAATGACTTAGTCTCTGGGGAATAGTGCTATCACACCCCACCATTCTTTGCCTTACCATGGCACAATGAGATTTGAGGGGTTGTGTGGTAACAGCAAAGCTCCTCTTCAACACTTCTACAGTTCCATAGCAAGAGAGTTGAAACTCCATTACTTGTCTACCCTTAAAAACAGCAATATCATGGTTTTGCTGAGGTTTAATATCTACCTTCCCCACAATGTCTGTTTGAGAAAATTTCACGTTTCTGGTTCAGAATAACGCTCAAAAAAACTTTACATTTCAAAAAATTAGGAGAATTGGATAGCTTGATGTAAATAATGCCCACTAGGACTGCAAAGTTTAAGTAATATAATTGAATAGAAATATTTTATAGGGAAATTTAGTTTTTAAAAGAAAATCAGTACAGAAGTGTGACTCCATTTTTCATGCAGCAACTCAAATAATTCTGTAATTAAATTCCATTCAGAGATCCCATTGGTTTTACAGCAGTCTATGTTTTAACTTCACTTTCTAACAGCTCAGTACAGCTAAATTTGCAGAACATCACTATTTATGAAACTGCACTGAAATCACAAAACCAGTCTATACAAAGAAATAAAAACTCTGCAAATTCTTTCAGATACTCTACTAAAGAGTATTTCTGCAAACAAAGATAGGCATAGCTGGAAAATTAATTTATCAAGCCTGCTGCAAGCTGCAAATGCTGATACACTTGTCGATAGCTAAAGGCTTCCTTAATCAACTAACAAAAAGGGATGATAAAAGGTTAGTCTCAGGAAAACACTACAGGAAACTGTAAATTATATATGGAGATGCTTAACAGGAGAAAATAAGCTCCTTTTAAGAAGCAGCAGTGGAATTATTTGATTTAATTTTCCACTTTCAATCCATGCAGCCAGTCCTTCCATTTCCAACATGAACACTTTAATGTAATTCACATTATTGATAATTCAGATTTACTCACTGCTACCTAATAATTATAGAAAGAATTCTTATATATACCAAGTGATATGTTTTTTAATAAACTTGCAGAATTTAATCACCAGGCAAATAATTTTTATGGCTTCAAACAGATGTTACTTTCTAAATATCTATCCAGTTAAAACATCAGAGCATTTATTTTTTACATACAAAAAGTGCAGGAAAGATGGAATAGCAAAGCACTACATATGCCTCAGGAGCACAAGCAGATATCATGTCATTATACTCAGCAGAGCATGTGCTACTCTGTGTTAAATGCAAGCAGGAACACTCTGGTAGTCTTGGTTCTCCAGTACTGTACCAGACTATACAGACAGAATATTTCAAGACAGCAATATAAGGCTTTGAATTAACCATGAGGGATCTAATTTCAGTATTGTGTGGGTTCACTGAGTTTAGGGCTTTGAAATTGTATTTCTCTTTCCTGAAGCTGTTTCTTGGTCTCTCTTCCCCATCTCTCCTCCCCTCTTTACAAGCAGCTGTCCCAGCACACTTGCTTCCTCAGCAATCCACCCTATTTCTCTATTGTCCACCTTTTCCTAGGAGTGCATTTGGTAATAGACAGGGAAGCAGGTATTGAACCACTCCTGCTGCAGTTGTTCAGACAACTGGATTTGTCTCTTCCAAGCAAAAGGTGGAGGCTAGACAGACATCCAAGGAGTACATGGGGTGAGACTCCTTCTTCTGGGAACCTGAGCTCATGCACTAACAGCAATTTAATCCTGGTCCTGAAAAGCTGATATGAACACACTCAACTAAGCCACCAGCTATAAATGTAAAATACCTAAGGCTTTAGCAAACTGAATGAATTGTCTTTTTTGTCCCCTTTTTATAGCCAGAGTCTCTAGCGAGCCATGGTTCAAGCAGTACTTTAGTACCATGGCTCCTGCCTCTGAAATCATCCCCTCCTCCTGTCCAGAGGCCAATGGCAGAGAAAATGCACATTGCTCAGCAACCACCCCTTGGATCTTCAGAACAAACCCTTCTTTGCCTGATTGGCTTTGCCTGTGCATACAGATTTCTTTGAACTAACCTCTAACAGAGCAGCTTCACTCTTCTATGCACAGCTAAAAATGCCCTCCTGCATCCAGAGGTACACCATAATCACTACAGTCCCCCTCCTTAAATTCCTCTGTTTCATTTCCAGGCTGAATTCTGCCTTCTTCCATCACCCCTGACGCTCAGAGCGACTCCACATTCTCAGAGCGAGTGTGGATTCACACATCTGCCGCTGAGAGCGATGTTCCTCTCCCTAGTGCTCTTCTGGAATGCCTTCCCAGCAAGTGGCCAAGCTCAATATCAATATTTGAAACCCTCCTATGGCACAAGGAGCTGCTGGGGTAATGGTGCTCAACAGACCAACAGGGCTGTCACTTCCCAATAGCTGAAGATGCATGGAAATGGTTACTGATCGTGTTATTGAGCCATACTGGGATCATACTGCTGAAGGGATGGCCCGTGGAGAAATGGGAAACTCTTCACAAGCTCTCGGGTCACAGGGTTCATATTGTTATTCATATAAGGGCTCATATTTTTATAGGGTAACATATGCTGGGAAGCACTACAGGCTTCAGCTAATCTCCATTATCAGTCTGTGAGACCAGCGGCGAACATTATCTTCTCTAATTTAGAACTAAAGGAACTAAAATGAGGAAGAGGTTACAGCTACAGACAGATATAATAGGAAAAAGAGAAATAAACTTTGAGATCTCCTAGAGCAAATTTCCCAGCTTCTCCTTCCAGGCTGCATCACCATTTCTGATCATGCTGTTATTCTAAACCTTATACACCAACCTGGCTTGAACTACCTCCCATAACCAGCAGCTTGAAATATCATAGAAAGAGAATGAAAAAAAAAGACTTCTCATACTACAAAATTATTTATAATTGTTGATATTTTCATAAACTCCAGTATGTAGCCACTAGAGGATGAAGAAGCTACATGAAATTAAATTAATTACACTTTTTAATAAAGCAATCTTTATAGATTTCATTAATTTTCTATACGGAAGGCCTACAGAAATGCTAAATAACATTATTTTTCTAATAACAACATTTTGATGCTTATTTTAGCTGAGTTTATTTAACATTTCCTGATGCTGTGAAAGTCAAATGATGCAGAAACCCCCCCCCCCTTCCTCCCCAGCAGTTAGAGAGACTTGGTTACTCCATTTTCCATTGCAGTGAGGATTTGAATCTTACTTTTTCTGAAAGCATCTTTAAAGAGTTCTTCAAGCTGTCTGGAGAACGCTGGCTTGCAGAACTGAGCAGCAGGTCTGCATGGCTTGATATGAGAGGCTGCAGATGACTGATGTTGCTGAGAACTTCTTTTGCCTTGGCTGTGTTTTCAGGTGAATAGTAAATACACTGGTATCCAGTGCTGTGATAACAGAGAGTCACATCATGTCAAATTCATTTCTGCCATTAACAGCAATGCTTATGGTGCTAAAAATCTTACCACTACTTTTGCAAAAAAAAAAAACGCCAGATGCCTGAACTTCACAGACACCACTGATCCTGCATTTAAGGGTAAAAACAAACCTTTCCTTGAACAGTAAAAGCATAAACGGCATGAAACAGCCCACCACCACATGCTCCAAGTAATACAGTGCAAAATTCCTTTGAGTGGGTGATCTGAACATAAACCCCCATGTTTTTATGTGTTTCTTTTAAACACTGTAATTCTAGAGACAGAAAATATTTGACAAAGTCAGGTAATAATATCAAAGAGCATAAGGCTCCTTATTCTTCCAACTGAGCTCCCCAAAAGAGAATTGACTGCCTCACCGAGTCTTTCCAAGTGGGCCATTAAGGTTGAATTGATCAGTGGCCCACACTGTGTTTTGATTGGCCTCAATGATGTCCAGGAAGAGACGATAAACAGAGTTATCTCCAATAAAGAACAGGCATCTGATTTGCAAGAAGAGACCCAGCAATGGGTGCGGAAGTGAATTACTTCAAAACCACACAAATGCACACTGCAAACTTCCTACTGTCCACTGTTCAAACTACTGCAATTATTTTGCAGGACTTCTCCTATCCCTCTTTCTTCTTTTCCTCCCTACAAATTATGCAATATCCTCTTACACCACTGTTCTCAAACACCACTTCAGACAGCATGCACACACCCACTGGCTCTTGCCTGCAGCCCACAGCTCCTCACCTGAACCTCTGGTACGTAACCCTTCCTTTTATAAAGCCCTGGTTTAGTCTTTCAGAGAAACTAACCAAAATCTTCTGCAGCTTCAGATTAAAACAGGAAAAAAAGAACCCAAGCCCCTCCTGGCACATCACCAATGCCAGAGGAATGTACATGCTACTCCCAGCTGGTACTGTTTGTATCTCCCTTCTCTCCTTTTTGTCTGAAGTATTTCAGTCCCTTCAGCCATTTCACCACTTTCTTTCTTTCTTAATTTGGCATACCAAGACCAAATACTGACACTTGTTCAATCCTCTGAACTTTATGCATTCGCTTTCATTTCAGTCTTTGTCCAGATCTCTTCCCTACCCCCAGTTCCCCTTTGTGCCTTTTATTGAGTGAATTCTAGTTCCTTCTCTTTAGTTTTCTACAAATTAGAAACTAAATCTTGATCAGTCCCTTCCAATTCAGCATTTTCTATGATTCTGGCAAATAAGGATAGCTTCAAGCAGTTTTAAAATGAAGGCTCTTGCTTACATATTTTGCTGAGGTATACTCTCAATACCCAATTCTAATTTTCTATTCCCCAATATCCATTCTATTTTTCTGTCTTTCACCAATGTCTTCATTCCTAGATACAATTCTTTGTAGAAGCAATCAGGATTAATGGCATATAGCTGCCATTACTACCAGCCACATCTAAATTACGACGCATCTCCAACTTACATGAGCTACTCATGTCTACTAGACCCATGTCTAGTAGAAGTCATAATTCTGAGTATTTCAGCAAAGTGAATAATATAAACTGTCCCTCCTAATGAATTAGGAAAAACAAGCAAACCTCTGTCCCTCTGAGTAATCAAGAAACTGCCACAGTTCTGCCTTTGAGGTGGAGAGCCTGTTAGTGAGATGACTTCCAGAGTCAGATCTGGCACTACATCCACTGGAACCCTCAAGCAGCAGGCTCAGTGGATAGGGCAGGGACAAAGAGCAACAGTCTATGTTAATTGCAGTGAAGACATAGTCTTAAAAGTCTTGACACTTCTCTAATTCCCCATCAGGCTTTTCCCTCCCTTTATCAAAAAGTCCTTTTTGCAGGCTGAATCTGGCTAATGCTGTTATCAAGTTCACTCCTTTCTGGGATTTCCCTCAGTCTTTAAATCCTAGATAGTTTTCACTGATCTCCCACAGCTCTAGGCTTCACTGAATATTGCAGCAGAAAAGCTACAGACACCACTTGTAAGAAAGAGGGCAGTGACACCAAAGGTGTGGGCAGTTCTCATTGCAATTAAGTAAATCATAGCTTTTAAGTAAAGGAATTAGTGAAGAGAGAATGACTCTTCAGAATGAAGTGCACTACCAGACTGGTAATTATTTGGACAATTTAAACATTTTCAGAACCCTAGAAAGCACGACACAACTTCAAATATTTAGTTCCTCTCATAATTTGAGAGCAACTTTCTCAATCCCCCTAGAAGAATGTGTAATTATTTTTCAGAAACAACACGTTTGAAGTTTCTAACTGTTGTGTTCACACTGCTGCATGTATGACTAGCTGAGGTTTTCTGTGGCCTTAGCCTTCACAAACAGATATTCCCACTCACAAGTAAGCGACATTCCCTCCTCTGCAGCTACTTTTAAAGCTTACTGCTGCATGCAGCTCTGGTATGTAAGCACTGTTAGGCAGAAGAGAAACTTTTCACAGGTGTCCTAAGGCACAAACTGCATGAAACTTCTGCATTAGGGTAAAGGCCGCATGGGTAGGTCCAGTGCAGAATAGCAGCAGCATAATGAAAACATACCTCTCATATGTAAATTATGACTCAGGTACCTTTTGAAAACTGTATTATAATGCTTTCTGGGAAAAGTTTGAAAGCTTTCACTAAGCATATAAAACCACACTTGACCATTTCCATATATTGGCGCCATCATTAACCATAACCACATGACTGTCAGCGGTCATTTCAGTCCTAAACTTGCTTTATGGACATTCTTCAGATCACATACCAGAAACTTTTCACTTAAAAGAAAAGCCTTTCTTGCTCTCATTTCAGGTCCTATTTTTTTTTTATAATGTGCCTTTTATAAAAATTGGATATGACATTCCTGATGGTAATAAATGAGAGAAGAATTGCAAAGCCACTGCATTTTTGTAAATATTATTATACAGGACTTTCCCTTTGTGTCTGCACAAAGATTGATATTCTGTGTAATAGAAAAGATGCCAGAACTATCTTCACATACACATTTTCCACATTCTTCTGCTTGATAAACTTTCACAAAACATATGTCTCAGTCTTGTTTTTGTTTTGCAACTGCAAATGCTACCAGATAACTGTTTCTCTTTGTCTGCAAATTCCACAAGTCTAAGACTGCGCAAGAAATATATTGCAATATGCTGACACTGTTGAATATTTTGATAAACTGCTCTAATAATCAGACTGAAGGTCAAAAACACGCAAGGCAATTCTGTCACATCTAGACAGCTGCTAGGATTGGCTGAGAACTAGTCTCTTCCCACGTCCTGCATTAGGTCTTCAGCTCAGTTAGCCTAGAGAAAACGGCTGCTGAATCTGCATTTTTCCTGTTCGTTCTGTATTCTGACTGATATCGCAAGGTGTCACTTCTTCCTTCAACAAAATCTTCAGAAAATCTAGCCCCATCATAAAACAGGAAATTCAAATTGCAGAAGGTGCCCCGGGGGACACAAGGTGTCCTCAAAACACCTTTATCCAGCAAAATAAACAGGTGCATGCAAAGTAGCACTGTTGTCGCCAGAGTGAAATAAATTTGTCCATTATAAGATTGAGAATGTAGTAAGAAATGGTTCATTTTCTGAAAGGTGAGCACTGTGAGAACTGTAATGCTACTTTATATCATATAACTTTAAAGGATTATGTCTATTATATTATTTATATCTAGCGGCTTCAGTTATAAATTTTTATGATAAAAACCCACAAATCACTATTGCAACTGCATTAATCAGATAGTAAAGGAGAAAATACTTTAAGAAGTGTCTTCAGGCATTTTCTTCAACAGAAAACATGTACTTTCTAGGCCCTCATATGATGGGGATGAGGCTGCCCATACCAGTTTGCTGACAGCAGAATATTAACACCGAGTTTCTCGATGCGTCTTATGTGATCAACATGATGTACGTGTTTCATTGGCAGGTTTCAGCATCAGAGGTGGTCAGGGAAATGAAAGCTTTTCGAAGATTTAACAGGGTTTTTATACTGTGTAGGGCAAGCAAGACCCCCTCAATAATACAGCTTTCAAAGCAACTAGATCTGCTGGGTTTTGTTTGATGTTAATATTAATGCCAGCTCCTATTCAACCTAGAAGTCAACAGAAGAATTGAATAATTTCCCTTTTATTCTCTATGATATTTTATCCATGAAACTTTTTTGAGCATTGACTATAATGGAATTAATTTGCTGTGGACTGTCATGGTAATTTAGATCAGAGCACTCCCTCCCTGCTTTCCCTTTGGAATGCTGTAACACTGCAGTTGGCACCATCAGCTGGAGCACTGAGCAGTCACAACTACTGAAAAAATCTGAACAGCCACAGCAACAAACACAAATACATCCAATTCTTAGGAAAAGATGTGACTAACACTTTGGCGCATGTTCAACAGTGAACAAAGCATTTGAGCTCCACAATAAACTGAAACCTTTATTTTTGATTAGTCTTATTTTGGCTTTCTGAAGAATAAGAGTAGTTTGTTTTTTCACAGCGTACTAAAAATACTTCTACCTTAGCATACACCCAGGCCTGTCAGAAATAAAGCTGCTACCTTAAGTTACAATTTCTGTATTTAAAAATTGTCTACAGATACATTCCTCTTAGCACAAGAATTGCCAAAGAGATCGCTCATTCTGAACAGCAGGTTTTCAAGTACTGATATACCTCCAGCTTCCTAAAATACAAGGAAAAAAAATCATAATTTTGAACCATTAAGGTTGCAGAGGACCTCCAAGATCATCGAGTCCAACCTTTGACAGAACAACCCCCATATCAACTAAACCGCAGCACCGAGTGCCGAGTCCTGCCTTTTCTTGAGCACTTCCAGGGATGATGACTCCACCACAAGTCCCAATGCACAAAAACCCTTTACATGAAGAAATCCTCCCAACCTGAACACCCTGCAGCACAGCTTGAGGTAATTTCCTGTGTTTACTCAAAATTGGTCTTAACACAAGAACTAGAGCGTGTTTCAATTTTCATCAAAGCAGGGGAAAAAAGGGGAATATTTTATGAATGCAGTGTTCAATCCTACCAGATTTTAATCTTCCATTCATTCAGCAGGATAAACTGTTTTGTTATTCAGTGAGCTTATAGCATTTTAATGCAACCTTAATGGTATTTTCCCAGCTGTTGGAAAGAATACTTACTTTCGTCTTTCAGCCTCAAATTTACTCAGCAGTTTCCGGAGACCACCATTCTTAAATCCTTGGAAATGTGCTTCTGGGGCTCCCACAGTGATAACATCATACAGAGCATCTGGAATGGGAACAGAGGAACACAGACATCTGAATGCTTCTATCCCTAAATCATGGAAACACTATGACATCTATTCCACAAAAAGTAAGGACAAGTCTATATAATTTCCAGGGAATAATTGATAATCCATGTCCCAAGAAGGCCCAAGAGCTAATCAATCTTTCTATACAGCCACTGCACACTTTAAAAAGTTCATTTGATTTATGGCTATATGTAAATTATGTGCCACTGAGTAGAAGAATATTCCAGCTCTGCAGTTTACAAAGCTGACAAGTAAATTGGCCCATTGCGTATTCCACTCTATTGCCCCTTTCATTATTTAACTTGTAGTCATGTTCAAGCATTTTAGAGTCAAAAGAGACCATTTTGATGGAATAGTCTGACTGAATAATAGAGACTACTGAATCACAGCTAATAATTCCTGCATCAAGCTTGTCTCTTGGTTGAGTGAAGGCATCTCTTTGTTTAGGCATCTAATCTTGATTAAAAGATTTCAAATGACAACAAACTCACTGCATTCCCAGAGAAGTCAATTAGGCTAGTAAAAATCCCTATTCCTTTTCTAGCTTCAATTTGTTCGGATGTAATGCTACTGTACTTTCAGATATAATGGTGTTTAATGCTGAATTGGTGAGCCCTGCTCTAGGATATACACTTCTTATATATGTTTATAAACACAAAGTCAGTTGAGAAGCTACCAGAATAGGAAATAAATCATACTAATGAAATGCTTGCTGAGAAAACAATCTGTTGTCTCTTTCTGTATATACCTGGTGCCTTATGACATAGGGGATGAATTCTTTTTGTGGATATATGCTTACAGAACTGGAGGTGAAACATCATTTTTCAAAGAGCTCGTGATTGATTCTCAGGGTGGAGATGAAGATTTAATTACATCCCACACCACATAACTATTTTTTTCTAAGTTTAAAAATTTACATTTACAGTAAGTACCTGTTTTGTACCTGAACTTACTGGAGGTACAAAAGTGCAGTTCCGAATGCCTCATCTTTAAAATGCATTTCTAAAGGAAACGTTACAGGATGTTTTTTGAGAACTGTTTTATTCCTCAAAGAAGTTTCCCATGTAAATTAAAATCTAGACCTCTCCTAAAATAGAACTTGCATTGTGATGATAAATATGCCCAGAAGCATGAGCACTGTACAAATGATTCACAGTTAATGAACTATGCCTTACTTCCTGAGCTGAATCTCAGAACACATTTGCTCAAATTGATTTGAGCTCTAATGAGTTGGTGACTCTTCAATATCCACTTAAAAGGAGAAGTGACATAATTTCATTTGCCTAAGGTGAGCCTCAAGGTTCTTAAATAGCCCATTCTTTTAGGTCTTTATACAGATTATCACTAATACATATTCTTCAGCTATTAGGACTCCACTGATACTTGACAATAAGGAGGAGGAGGAGGCAGTCAGTGTCTTAAAATGGCCAGATGCAAAACAAAAACCACTTCAGTTCACCAAATCTATTTAAAACAAGCACATATTGCAAACAGAAACAAAAGCAAAGCTATGTCAATATACAGATTTAAGTTCTCTAGTATGATGAACAGAGCACAATGTGGGGTTTATCAAATGGATAAGGATACCATTGACCCATAGGAAAACAGTATTTTTCCTCAAAGCTACTCCTACTGAAAGCTTAAGCACACTTTCTCTTCCATTTCAGTACTCAATGACAACCCAAACAAAAGTTCAGGAAAAGCAAACCTATTATTATACATGTCAAACACAAAAAAACCCACATACCAATGTGTATATACAATAGATGGGATAAAAACCTATCTTGCATTCCCAAAATTAAGATATCTGATAGTGTAAGGGCTAATGACACCTCCATGGATCATTAGCTTGTTTAAATGCCACCTCCATGAATTTTTATTCTTCCCCTTCCAGTATCATTCTCCTGGTTATATTCCAGGTGTCCTTTGATATATGCCAAGCAAACCATGAGCTGAGAAAGACCAACTTCATATCGAAGTGCTGCCTATTCCAGATCAATTAGCAATTGCTGCAAACTGCTTAGCCTGCATGTATCTAATACAAGACACAGGGAAGAACATCAGTTAACTAACAGAGGCAGAGTTTTATAATTTGAAGATCCAAATTTGGAAGACAACTAGAACAATTCTAACATTTATCTCTTCCTGTACTCTTTTTGATTATCAATTAATGATGTGTGCAAAGCAAAATGGTTTTGGAGAAGAAGGGAGAAAATTCATTAAAAAGCAAAACAAAACTCCAGTACTGTAAAAGTTGTGGGTGCTTAAGTAAGTCACAGATTTCACTCAAATTCTCTTTTTATTTAGCAAATAGAACAGTGTCCTGTTCACAAAGAGGTTTTGTTGAAAAGACAACGTTAAGCTTCTGGCCCCCATTACAAACCTAAAAATCCTTTTCAGTTAATTAATTAACTTGAAAACATTAAATTAAAATCTGTGTTATCACATTATGTCACTATAAATCCCCATCTTGTAGAAATATTTGGAGGCACAGTTTTTTAGTAAAACAAATAACAAAATATTGAACCAACAAGTATCTAACAGATAATTGGAAGCCCCTGTGTCCCAATTTAGAAGTGGATGTATACTCACACAGTACAAAACAGGAAATTTACCACTGTTTTTATTTCCTGTTTTACAATCTTAGATGCAGAGTGTATTAATAAGGCAAAAACCGTATCAGAATGTAATTTCTGTGTTTGTAGTTACAGCAAATTTATCAGATCTCAATTGATCAACAAATTATTCACTGTGCCATTTGGTCATATATATGTATCAATATGATCTTTGATCTGTAAAGGAAGCTGCTAAAATCATATGCAAGTGGCAACAACAGAATTCTGTGTTAAAAAGAACCACAGACCATGTTAGAGAAAGTTATCCCCCTTTCCAGGGGATGTTGGAAGTTTGCAGTATTTTCACTCAACACTGAGCCAAAATAGCACATATTCTCCATTTACTTATTTGCTTGAAGTGTCATAGGAACAACATGAGCACATTCTTGGAATCTGTTTTTAGAAAAGAACTTGGAAGAAATTTAGTTAACCAGCCCCTAGTTTTCCAAGATGTGCAGTAATTGTCCACAACTTGTGGCATCAGAAGACGAGGCAGGGAAATTCCTTGCAGAGCTTTGACTTTGGATGTGATTTCTAGATTTCAGTGAAACTGTGTTTCAAAGCACACTTAGTCATACTTGGGGAATTTCTTTACCTTTCAATCGAGGACTATGCACATGCATTCTTTGCAGATGAAGATTTATTGGGATGAATTCTAGTGTTTTTTCTCCTTTGCTACAGCTTGATTTAAAGGAAGAACCTGAAAAACAAAAGTTTAAAGAATCATTGTCTTAACTACCCAGATGTTTTTGTATTCCTTTTAATGGGAGACAATACTTGTATGTGAGGAGTTGTCTTTAATTTACCTTCAATGGATAATTATATATTAGGAGATGAAATGTTCACTGAGTCTCAGCATGTATCCATACTGGAAGCAGCAAAGCAGCATTTAATTCACAGAGCAATCTAACTGTTTTATTCTGGGAGACAGATACTCTTCCCTGCTGTCTGAAATCAGTCTGTAGTCTGCTGGAGACAACGCAGCAGTTAATGTGCATTGTGTATATTCTGTGCTAAAACTGCGAGGTTACAGAGCTATGATGGCACTGCATTTTTCCAAGTAAGATTATTTTCTTTGAAGAAAAGTATTGTATTGAATAGGCTATGCGTTCTTCCTAGAAAGGTCAAATAAAGAAACACAAACTATCTTAAGAAAAGCTATATATTTGTTCAGAGGAGGCATGATGCCTTGGAAAAACAAAACAAAACAAATTAATATGGCTGTATATTTCCAAAACATTAGAATTTGAGTAGTTTTTTGGTAGCGTAAAGAAAAATAATTAAAGTCCGACAGCATTAAAATATAATTTACCTGAACACATTTAATACAGAATCTGTATAAAATAAAAGGGTGTAGATTAGGAAAGAGAGGTGGCCTAGTCTTCTAACTCAGGCAGCCCAACGTTCACCTAGGCCACTTTTCCAACATTCTATCATTTCGCCAACTATTAATTACTAGAACTAAAATTCCTCTCACTCAGATGGAATTTTTAAATAAGTTTTGCCAAGGTTCAGCCTTTTTTTGAAGCAAACACATAAAAAGATAAAGAAAATATTTTAAATTGTTTTTTGCTTGCCCAATCAAGACTTGCTAGTGTTTATCTGTTGAAACTGCCACAGGACTGAGCACTGAGCCTCCCAATATAAACCACTCTGCCAGAGGGCACCAACGATGCTCCAGACCAGCCAAGCATGCTCAGGCTGCTCCCTAAGTTAGGAACTTAAAATTATAATTTAATACAGATGAAGAGCACAGCCAGGAGTCAAAATTTTAGATTAGACAGGAAATCCCATGATGCAGATTGAAACAAACAAATAATTTTCAAAGTTCCACTCCCTCCCAATATCACCAAATCTGTGCTTTAGAGTTACCTGAAATTACTGGGCTTTTTGTTTCCTAACACTTATATCTTCCTGGTATATTTCCTTACAATAAAATGCTTTACATTCTCTCAAATTCTCCCATAACTGAGGATAAAAGTGTTTGCCAAAACAACTCAAATCTGAAATAGTTTTAACTTTCTTAAACATCCATTTTCAATAAATATGCTGGTAAACCAAAATTGCTGTCTAACACTAATGTGGCTTCCTCATACTTCCACAGCAATCTCTCAACTTCAAAAAGAAATTAGGTGGTCTCCTAACAGCCTTCTCCACTAAATTCCCAAATAGTTTGGTTGAGTTCAAGTGGGTATCACTCAAAAAGCCCAACGTGAGATTATTGTGCTGGGGAAGCATGAGCATATTTTGGAGAAATTTTATTTGCAGGTGCCATCTGCCCTTCTGAACAATTCAACACAAACTCAGGCGATGTTTTAGGATGAAGAAAGACACCTGCACTGGCTACACTGAACAGCAAAATGGTTTTTGGCATGCCTTGAAATATGTTGACCTGAAAAGTCTGAATTAAAATTGTACTCACATCCCTAATCTTAGCAATTTCTACTTCATAAGTACTTGAATTTCAACGTGCTCCCAACGTAACTATTTGTTCAACTACAGTATTAAATCAAATCTATGTCTGGCTTGCTTTTCTGATCTTGTATACAATCTTGTATTAGACTGCTTTGTTTTCTGATTAATGTCCCTTTCTCTTTTACATGTGCTGATTTGCTCCTCCCGGATGACCTCAGTTTCCCAGGACCACATTATTTCTCTCAAGACCCAATTAAGATGGGTCCTTTAACATTATAAACCCTTTAGAAAGCCACTTTGCACAACACAGGTCTTGCAGGGTTTATGTTTAAGAGATTATATTGTCTGTTTTTTAAAATCTCAAAATGTCCCCTCAATATCTTCCTGAATGTTATAATTATTACATTGGATCTGTCATTATCTATATTTATTGGCTTGTTTACGACACTTTATGGAGCGCTTTCAAGATTAATTAGGCAAAGATTGAAAATACATATAGATACTATTTAAAACAGAATCAGGAAGTGCCATACTGGGCTAGACAGTAGATGCCAAAATTGGAACTGGGATATTCTGATGATGACAAACAATCATAAATACAAGAAACGTCACTTCTGCCAACAAAATGGAAATAATTATACAACATTTAGTGCAACACAAGAGCTTTTTCCCCCACCAAATATTTAAGCAGCTGACCGACTGCTTTCAAAAAGGTGACTTTCAGTTAGAGACTGGTTTTTTTTAATACACTCAAATCGGATTTCTCCTTTTCTGTGACCAAGATCTCTGCATCCAGCTCTGGGCTCCCAGCGCAGGAGGGACACACACCTGCTGGAGTGAGTCCAGAGGAGGCCACAGAGATGCTGATTGGAACAGTTCAGCTTGGGAAAGAGATTTCAGGCTGATGCAATTGCAACCTTACTGCCTCAGTACCTGGAGGGAGCTTACAATAAAAGCTGGAGCGGGACTTTCTACAAGATCATGTGATGACAGGACAAGGGGATTCAAACTTAAATGAGGAGATCTGGATTAGACATAAGGAAGAAATTCTTTAATGTGGAGGGAGGTGAGACACTGGAACAGGCTGCCCAGAGGAGCTGGGGATGCCCCATTGCTGGAAGTATTCAAGGCCAGGCTGGATGGGAGTTTGAGTAACCTGGTCCAGGTGGGCTAGAACTTGATAATCTTTAAGGTCCCTTCCAATCCAAACCATCCTTTGATTCTAAGATTTTTATGTATTTTATTCCCACTGAATATGCCAGTATTTTATAGCTAACAATCTAGTAAGCTCTGAAAGGTTCCAGATAAAATCACAGATTCCCACCTGTATGCTTCCCAAGCTCTGCCAGAGTGTCCTGGTACATGCTCAGCAACTGATCACAGTGAGCAATTACACTTTTGCGCATGTTGTCCCAGTGAGGAGCAAGCTCTCCCAGGTCTTTAAGCTCCTGATTCCTGTACCAAAAAGCAAAAAGGGAAGGCGCTAATTAACTCATTAATCTATCAAGGTTCATCCAAATTAATCTAAAACAAGTTTGCTACAAAACATCAGAAAGATTTCTAATTGAAATAAAATCCGTTTTCGGACTGCTTGTGAGATCTGCTTTTCATCTCTCTTTTACAAGTAAACAATAAATTATGTCAGTAGATAATGCAGTAACTTTTGTGCTCAAAACTCATCTGGTATAAATGCAGTAACCTTCAAAATGAAATACCACTTCTTTCATGAAGGAAAGAAGGCTTCCAGGCTCCAGAGAGTTGTGCTCAGAGCAAGTAACTTTATCTCAAGAGATATTAAACAACATTGGAAAGAATATAAAGTTTCTTTTTCCTGCAAAACTTTCAGTATGGTTGTTTTGATGCACTACTCTTTGTATACTTTCATAAACATTTCATAAACACATATTTCTAGCAGTGTTTCTACAAATTCAGTTTAATCAACACATCAGCTCTCACCACATTTCTTCAGGATTCAAAACAAAATATACACAAAAAATCCCAACACCTGCTCCCTAAAATGTCATGTCCAGTGTTCATCAGGTCAAAAAAGTACTGCTGTGGTAACCAAACAGGTCACTGGAAATCCAAAAGGAAATCCTTTAGTAAATTATCAGTTTTCCTGTACACTCCTGAGAGCTGACCTGAGTGAAATAGAGATCATCTGAATTTCCTGCACAAACAAGCTTAGTATTTTGGGCTTTCTGTTTGGTTTTTCCTCTTGCAGAGGAAGTTTCTCCTGTATCTCTCCCAAAGCCATTTTGTGGGACCTGCTTTTAAGGAAAATAAAAGATCTTCAGTCAGTCTTCAAACATCTGGAATTTAACAGGAGAAAATGTTTGCAACACAACCAGTTTTCATTATTTTCCTTGGAGCATCAAGAAGAGTGTTCCACTGTAATTCTTGGAAGTCTCCAAAAAGTCTTCCAGAAGACAGTTCTTGCATACAGAAAAATTATGTAAGAAAAAGCAAAAATAGGGTAGAAGAGGTGGAAAGAGGGAGGAAAGGACCAGTGAGCTTGCAGCGCAGGAACACAGAGCTCACTTATGTGAGCAGCAGATCTGACCATTAGTCAAAAAAGCCTTAAAATGACTTCTTAAATGGAACAGCAACACACTGGTGGTGCTTTCCCCATCATTATTAGCTTTGCATTAGTGTGAGCAGTGCAGTCAGAACAAGCTCCATAGGCAGACCTCTGCTCCTGGTGTAGGTGACAATCAAAACCAGAGAGACTGCACTGGAAGCGGAATTAAAGCATTGCATTTGTACATGTTCTTGAAAATATCAACATGGAAACAAAGACACAACACATGGACTTGCTGACAGTCTATGTTAACGATATTATTACTTTCTGCCATTTAATTGCTCCTGAAGCTGAACCAATTAAACTTTCCTCCAGCAATACAAACTGGTAATGCTGTAGCATAAGAACAATCTGTCACGAAGGGATTTAAGAGGATAAACCAAACATTCTCAGGGACCATTTTCTTTGCCAGTTTTTAGCAGTATAACATGAGGTTCCCTTTCAATTAAAATCTTAGGGCTTCCTTCTCAGCAAAATGTGTAAAATTTGTCAGGGTATGCAATTTTGTTTATGTGCAGCGATAATGTTTTGGCCCTTAATATTTATGGTGTCTGATTTAATAGTTTTAGCAACAATGTTTGGACCTGGCTGGCTTCCAAAACTTTACTACTCCTTCTGTATAGGAATAGAGTATTCTATCCAAGAACTACATCCCTGCCTCCATCTAAGCTCATGCCTGGAGCTGCTGGTCTCAAACTGAAGTTTGAGAGTTAACTCCACTGACATCAATAGCAATGGGAATATTAATTTTAATAGGTCTTCAAGAAATATCAAATCCTGTCCCCATTACTGGTGACAAGGTTGGTATTTGTTTCTCCTCAGAAACATGTACAAATCAATGAAGTAAAAATTCAGTCTTCAATATGTGGCAAAAAAAGACACATCAACAATGCTTAAAGTGAGAGTACAGCGCTATAGCAATCTAGAGCATACACAGCGTGGAAATTTTAAAGACTACGATTTCTGAATTTATTTGCATTTTAAACTCCAGCAAAATCAAAACCATTAGAAAACAGGATTATATGGCAGACACTTCCATAGAAAACAGTCTCATAGCCTCACTTTATATCTATTTCTTTTTCTAATGAAATTATAGAAGACAGAGCATTTAAATTGGATTTATGTCTCGTGGTCTTTTTACAGTTTATCACTGCTGTTGTTGACTCCATAAAATTCTGAGTTATGAATGAAAAAAGAGTTGTCTTTTCTATATCTAAACTCCATCAACAATACTCCACAGTACCAAGCTTTATTATTATTACATGAAAGGCCTTTTCTAAAAGTACACAGAGTGGAAAAACCATAATATTTTCCATTTTTGAAAAAGTTTACAGTTCACACTAATACAATTGTTGAAATTTTTAATAATATTTTAATACTTTAATGTTAACTTATTTCATTGAATAACTTTAAAAATCCACTTCAACCAGTAACTGTGTCAAACAACAATTGTGCTATTAAAAAGCACATAAGCTGAAAATGCTGTATGAAGGCCAAGTAGCAATTTTTTATACATACAGCTTCAAAAATCTAATGATGTGTTTCCTAGTAAAGCAAACATGACAAATTCAAAACCTAGAAGACTAAGTGATTTTGGCCTCCGCTAAGCAAAATGAGCTTCTGAAATCTACTTTTGCAAAACATCAGTGCGCGAGGGCGTACACAGCCCTAAGTCCGGCTAGCTGAAGGGGTAAAGCGGCCGACGCCCCTGCGCATCTGAGGCCAGCCCCCCTTGGCGTCCTGGCCTCGGGCTGGGCTGGATTGCGGACTTGGGTTCGCGCTGGACGAGACGAGAGAGGAGGCGACCACTTGCTGGGGGTAAAACGTCAGTTTATTGAAGAGCCCACATGCAGCACAGGGCAAACCAACAGGTGGAAAAACCCACAGCAAAAATGGCCCCGAACACGGGGGGGAGACAGAGTTTTACAGGGAAGGGGTGGAGACGGGAGGGGAAGCCCAGCTAACCAATAGGGGAACATGTGGGGAGGTACATAAGAAAACTGACACAAGAACTTATCCAATAAGGAGGGGCCCTGGGACGCCAGCCAACTATGACCCCCAGAGAGAAGAATGTTCTCGAAAGCAGGGAGGAGTGGGGGGTGATTGACTGGGCCCAGGGAGGAGGAAAACTTTACTTATATGGTGGGATAAGGGAGGAGCAGTTATGTAACTTGAGAGACTGACAAATAAGGGGGACAGGGGTAACCGTGGTAACATAACTGCCAAAGACTCTGTGGCGGGAAAACTGGAGGGGGAAGAACCATCTTACAAAGAACAGGGAGAGAATAATACCTAAAATGGGGGAACAAAACAAGAAACTTAAAAACACACTACAACATCTCCCCGTTTCTTAACAAATAAAATAAAAAGAACGGGAAGTCCACAGAAACTTAAAATTCAGGATCTCGCGGCTGGTCCGGCCAGGCCTCGCTTTCTTCGAGCTGGAATCCGCCCGCCCCTGGGTGGTCGAAGGACGGTGCGGTCGCCCCTTCCTCATCTGTAGCTTCTTCGGCCTCCGAGGAGAGGTCTTCCAGCTCGATGGGCTTGTCCGACGGGACTGCGGCATGGTTGACAGATGCTGAGGTATCTCTGACCATTAGTCTCTGGACCAAACCGCGGATCAAAATAATGAAAACTAAAAGTACTAATTAACTCAGAACAACCTTGCAAACAGATTCTATTATGGAACCGGCCCACCCGCTGAGGCCCCAACCCTTGAAAATGTCCCCCAGCCAGTCAGAGGTTTCTTGCTTGACCTGATGGACAAGGTCTTGCAGCCTCTTGATGGAATGTCTGGCGTCCTCGGCTCGAGAGGATAGGTTCAGGCAGCAGAGGCCCTCAAACTCCTCACAGTGATGATGATGGAGCAGCAATAGAAAATCTATTGCTGCTCTGTTTTGGAGTGTCGCCTTCCTTGTTATTTCCTCGTCTGTGAGGAGGTCGTAGAGCGCGGCCGAAGTAAAATTTGCTTGTTTAGCCACCCAACACTCTAGACAGCCCAATTCACCTAGAGCCTTCGCCACCGATACCCAAGGCAACAAGATGGTAAAGGCGACGGATTTTGAGTGTGACCAATGAGTAATTTCATCATCACAATCCTCAATGAGATCCTTGAGATCTCTTTTAGGTCTAGCCAATTTAGATGTGATGTTTGTCTTCTTCCAATTGATAATTTGAGTGACGTTGGGGGTAAACAGTGTCAGCCGGCCAAAAGTGCACGGCCCTTCCGACCAGGCCAGAGGGGATGCCTGCCCACGCCCGGTCGCCACAATTAAAAACACGCCTCGGGGAAGGGAGTAAGGGGTCCGTCTGGTAGTGGTGGGGCTGAGGATCTTTAGGACAGCCTTACACCACTGCTTAGCTTGGTATTCTAACTTGGACTGCAGCACTACCTCACTACCCCTCTCGACGGGGGTGATTGTATAATCAAACTGAAAGCAAATTGATGCATTGGTCGAACCGAGGAAATGTAACTCTGTGGGCTCGGAGGGTGCAGGATCTAGCCTGCTCACTCCGTCTCTCCAGGCGTTGGAGGAATCACAACTGGGGAGGATAGTGAGGCTCTGGGCTAGGATAGCATTAAAGGCACTTTAGAAGGCAGGGAGAAACTCGCCTGGAGAGAAAGGGATCCCCACAAGGCGACATCGGGTCCTCTGCTGCGCCGGTGTCTAGGCATATACTGTCCTGTCCTAACGATTGAGCCAAGGCACGCCAGACGTTGACTTTCCGCTGGGGGATGACCCACGGCTCCGAAGGTGGCAAAAGGAGTCCGCAGGTCGTCATGATCGCCATTAGCAGGCTAGGGATGGGAGTCAGCGATGTTGAAACGGGGGCCATGGGGGAGATGTAACTGAAATGAGATAAGATAGTAAAA